GTGTAGGTATATACACTCTTTGTCTCCCCTTATAGTGTGAGATTAAATTTGCCTTATACGTTTCTTTCGATGAACTAATTCCTACTCCCTGTATCATATCCTCATATGCAATCTTTCTTTTATATATTACTATCATTGAATTAAATACTTCTATGAATCCGGTGTTCATCTTGCTGTGCTAATACGGTATGGCAACTTGGACCGATGCATATATGTGCTTGGTCCTATGTTGTAGCTGACTGACTGACGCAACAGTATGAAAACATGTTTTTTATAATCGTCTACTAACACTTCGTTGGAATTCATGAAATGTTTTTAAAAAACATTTAGTCTTGTGAAGAACTAGTATCATTACTACAATGACGTGTCTATGACACACGGCATCATATACCTTTAATGATAAGGTTATGAGAATAACTTTACTTAATCTCCCTTTAGCTTACTAGGTGGAATAAATTAAGGTGTATAAAAACTGAATTTCAAACATAATAAGCTGAGGTTTTTAACAGAATTCGAAGTAAAATCAATCAATGTTACATTTAATGATCAACTAAGTAAAGTTTAACGACACCCCTCTCAAATTTTTAATTTTACTTGACACATCATAAACCGACCACGATCTCAATAATCTCCACAACCCTACACTGATAATTATTATGTGCTCACTGGTAACTAGCTTCGAGAGGTAATTCTCGGAGTTTTAATGAGAAGCCGTGACCAGTACAGTTCAACCGTATCGTGTGACAGTTAATCACCGCAGAGAATAGATAAGGGTTTGTTATAATCTCTTTCTTACGGTTACGACCCAGCTATTCCTATTGCTTAGTATTCTCAGACACCGATTCACTCGACAAGTCCCCAAATCAGAGCACGGTTGAACAGGAAAGAGATTACATTCCAAATAACAAGGTTAGATGGAAGTAAGAAGCACAATAGAGAAAACGTCAGTATATTTATAGTTTTTACATGAGAAGATTCTAGAGTATTTCCCAAGTATCGACTAGTGCTGATTGGATAAGGATTAGCCAATCAGCGCGCAACAAAGTAATCGTGCATTGAGCATGCTTTAATCTAGTCTATGTCCCGCTAACAGGGTTGAACAATGTAGCGAATTAATTTAAGTTAGACACTAAACAGTTTATGATTCAAACTATGAAGAGATTATTTTCTGTCTTTTCTGAAAAAATATGTCTAATATGAATCTATCGGTATTATCATCAGCTGCTGTGAAATTTTACTTCGATTAACAGCGAACATTTTACAACCCTTTCTTAATAACAACGGTACAATTCAACTTAAACAAAGAAAATACAACGTGTGATATCCAATCAGTCTATCAAATATACACAACGTAGAACTTGGGACATATCTGCATCGGTTCAAGCAGTCACATACAGCGACATGAAATTGTCAAGGGAAATCTCAAAGTACTACAGACAGTAACAACATTGGCGGTAATAGAGGAGATTAAGCACAGAAGTTATGATTTGAAAGGCAAATATGGATTAGTGGAAAAGATTTTATGAGACTATTTAGAAACTCAGGATCTAGGGGAAAACGAAGAGTGAATGAATTTACGTCATTGTGAATGGTTCTGAACCACGTGAATTAACATTTACAACTGTTGGCTAAGATGACTCCAACCCCAACCAAGTAGTCTGAACCTACCAACATGACTCAGGTCAGTCAATGACTACACAGGTTGGTGTCATGTCATAGTCGGGCCTCCCCTAGCTTTCTCCCAACATAGTCCTATACCAGCCATCATCACACGCCAAGGTAGGCATATTTAACACACATTCCAACCATCCGAGCCAATAAACACTTACTACCTTACCAACCAGTCCGTCACCGTTACCTAGTTCTCTCTAACTAGCCTCACTTTTGCTTACTCGGCAATCCCAAAGTAAACGACCTATATTGATCCGAATAATTACAACTAAAGCATTAAAAAACAATAACCTGGATGCTCAACTAACATTTGTGTTAGCTGCATACTTCAAAAAAGATTTTACCGCTGGAGGCGGAAATAAGTCGGTGAGGTGCGACAATTTTATGCTCAGCTTCTTCTAGACTTTCCTTTCGTTGTGAGAAAACAGTAATGCAGTATGTGCTGGTTGCCTGATGGAAACATCTTACTGATGTCATACTTCTGTACGGTCAGCTGGGAGTGCATCCCCCTCAGAACTCTAGGAATGGGATATCACATTGAAAGTTGGAAGCTGAAATTTTATAAGAAACTTATCGACAAAAAGAAATGTAACATACTACTGAAGATAAATAAAAAAATGACTTCCTAAAATTACCAAAAACATTATACTTACCCATCCTCCTTGTTGAGCTATCCACACGAAAATATTGATTTGTCGACAAAAACTGACTAGACATCGACATACTTGATAAAATGCGTTGGTAACACCTTTTTTAACTCGTTGCACTACTAACCGATAACCAAAATAGAACAAAGTGATTACTTGACCCCAGTTAGTTGGACCACGAGCAAATAGCCTAATATTGTAATATTATGTGGGAGATAGACAATAAGAGGTTAGCTACTCAATAACAATTAAATGCTATTCGAAAATAAAATCATTATAATATAAACTATTTTATTGTTCCATTAAGCTACTCGTTGTTGTAGTGACTTTTAAGAAGTTAGTGGGTCGATAAAAAAAGACATTACACCTATGTGCGTTACAGAGTACTGTCCAGGTATATTATAATTACTAATAAGATGAATCAGATGGAGATTTTCGAACTCCATACAGTAAAGTGGTTGGAACGCATACAGTCAGTCAGTCAGGTGTGCTGTTACGGGTATGAGGGCTGATGTCACTTCCCGGCTGCCCACACCGTGGAAGGGTACTTCTTGAGGAACCTGAAAAGGAAATTGGATTAGTGTTGGTCCTAACGACCTGGGAGCGTGACCGCAGAGCTCAAGGGACAACTGCTTGAGGCCGGTTGCGCACGGCCTTTCTGTGGAAGGTTTTTGACGTGTTAGCTCCGTTCTTCAAAATGCCTTACTGCCGGAGACGGAAATCCGTGAGGTAAGGTGAGGTGTGACATTTTTAGGGTCGACCTTTTCTAACCCCACCCCTCCTTGTGGGAAGGCAGCATCGCTGTCATGCTGGTTGTCCGAGGGAAACACCTTACTGTTGTCACACCTCTCTACCGTCAGCAGTACGACTTCGCCCTCAGACCTTGAGTTGCTGCTTTTAGTCTTACCGTTCTCCAATCGACCTGCCTGGCATGGTAGAACCTACAGGAACATATGTTCCAGCCAATATAGCTCGGTTGGGTCATCACGATAGGCAAGCCCGACCACCGCGTCAAGGTAGCAGCTTCGGTCGGGTAGAACGCATACAGCCCATTACTTAACCACCAACGTTCCCCAAATTTTATGCAAAATGAAAAAAAAAGGATTAAGGCGAAAACAAACGAAAAATCAGCATAGTGTGATATAATACCAACCCATGAACTCTCCCACTGTCACATAAACATCACGGATAAGTTCTGCAGGGTTACTGTAATCAATAAGTGTAATAGTTCAATACCACGCCTCAAAGGGTTCAGGTACGGTCACATTACATTCACCTCTGAATGTATAATAAATCTATTACATACATTTTGCATTGTTATTATAATTATAAGAAAACAATTCACCATATAGCTTAATATGTTATAAGTACTATTTTGTGAACAGTTTTTATTGTTGAGAGAGTTCATAAATATTCATTATCATTTTGGTAGCAAGAAATAGTCTGTTTGTGCTTTGGAATGTCACATTAGAAAATTTTGACTTCACTGACTTTGTCTTTTTCAATAGTCCATCAGGTGTTTATATTATTTAGCTAAGAAAAGGATCGTTATACTTCTAAAAAAAAGAAAAGATTGCTGAGTCGCATTGAGACCCGCGTGATTGGTTCGTTTATTATGGAAGTAGTTTTAGTCTCGTCTAGATATTGATTAACTCGCCTACATTATTTATTTATTTATTTGAACACATAGATATTGGTACAAAGGGACACCAGATACATATGCGCCACACAAATCTCATTAGATTTGTGTGGTTGTGGTACCGCCTGCGTGCCCAAACCGAAGCAGGTGGTTCAATTAGGGGGCCACACACAGAATCTTCGACATGAAGGTCGGATCCACAAGGCAGTGGAGGGATGTAAAGAGACGCAGTTTGATATTAGCCAGTGACCAACGATTGGTCCAAAAGCCATTTGTTCCCTCAGGATACTGGAGCCCAAGTACACCATTAATTTGGAACCAGGCTTTTCTAAATCCTCTAGGTGGACTCTCCGTGTCCGCCAACCCGGTTAAAACACCGGATATTTGCTTTTCGTCGTCTCAATTTTGTAAACAACACCCCCGCCGCGAAAAGGCAGTGAGCAGAACTTCCCTGGCTGAGGCTATATACGCGTAAAGAGTTGGAGGATCTACATTAACTTGCCATTCAGGTTGACTGGAGATCGTGGGAAACCGAAGTGTGGCTGAAGGCCAGTTGAACTGATCCCTAAAGTGTTCTGCCCATCGATCCAATCTATTGGATTGAGAATGAATAATATGTCCATCTTTTTCGGAGACAGTTTCGCTAACATTCGGGTTCCTAACACCGGTTTCCTTAACAAATCTGAACAGTTGTCTACTATTACCTATTGTCGCTGCCTTTCCCATCTCTTTTGCTTTCGCTACCCACCACTGTTCACGATCATTGTGTAGGCTTCTTGACAGCTTGTGCTTAAGCTGACTCTACTCTTCGCCATGTTCAGATCAAGATGGAATGAGTTTTCGAGCATCTACCAGTGTGGTAGATGCTGCTGAGATCCAATGTTTCTCCCTAACTTTGTGGTTTACCGTACTATCAGATATCACTGCTGTTTCCACAGCTTTTCGGATATCATTCCATGCTGCATCGAGGTGGGCATCACATATATGGCTGCCTAACTGTTTTTTCTAGTTGTTCCTGAAATATACTCTTAGCATGACTATCATTAAGCAGGACCCTAAGGGGTTTCCTTGCAGCTTCTTTCCTACGTCCATTAAGACACAGACAAATACGCGCTCCCACTGGAGCATGATCTGAATCTAAGCACGTGTTCCAGAATGAGCGACAGTCTTCTATCGAGCCCCTCCATCGGTGGCTGATAGCAATGTGATCTATTTGGGTCCAACGTTGGGATGAATTAGGGGGTCGCCATGTCAAAAGATGTTTTTGCTTATGCTTAAAGTTATTATTTGCAAGAAACAGGCGGTTATCTTAACATAGCTGAAACAGACGGTCACTATTGTCTGTTCTTTGAGCCACGATGCTATAAGATCCACCCAGGTATCTTTCCCTTTCGCTTAGTTTACCTAGTTGAGCATTAAAGTCACCAGCCACTATTACTACATCAGAGTTCCTAGCTTTTCGGAGAGCTTTCTGTAGAACTCATCTTTTACATCATCTGAGCTGCAGTCAGTGGGAGAACAGTCAGAGACGACGAAGAGGCAACGACGAGTGTCCCTATCTTTCCGAGTCCTTAGTGTTCCGTCTAGTCGAACAGCGCACAAACGACTGTCTACAGGGATTCAATCTAAGAGAGATAATTCTGTCCTAGGATTCAATGCTATACCTACGCCAGCCAGGTCACGGGAAGCAGCATCAAGGCTTTCGGATACACGAAATGTGAATCCAGGTGGTTCTTTATTTTGACATGGTGAGGTCAAATGAATGACGCTACTAGCATCCTGTGTGCGTGTTTCGGAGACGCAGCACACATCGATGACGTGAGATTCTAAAGTCCTAGCTAAGGAAGCCTGTTGTCCTATTTGGTACAGTGTTCGAACGTTATAAGCTTCAACATGAAGTTTAGAGTGTGGTTTCAGGAGACCAGGAATAACGTTCCGCATACACGAATCGTTTGCCCTAGCGATGCGAGGTGATAAAGGGACGTGAGAAGGATTAGTCATGGAAATAATAGAGTTATTAGTTGGTGTGGGAAGGATTTGAACGTGACCAACTTGGTCTCATGTGCTGTTACGGGTATGAAGGCTGATATCACTTCCCGGCTGCCCACATCGTGGAAGGGTGTTTCTTGAGGAACCTGAAAAGGAAATCGGATTAGTGTTGGTCTTAGCAACCTGTGAGCGTGATCGCAGAGCTCAAGGGACAACTGCTTGAGGTCGGTCGCTCACGGCCTTTTCGTGGGAGGTTTTTAACGTGTTAGCTCCGTTCTTCAAAGGGCCTTACCGCCGGAGACGGAAATCCGTGAGGTAAGGTGGTGTGACATTTTTAGGGTCAACCTTTTCTAACACCTTCCTTCCTTGTGAGAAGGCTGCATCGCTGCAGATTCTGGTTGTCCGATGGTAACATCTTACTGCTGTCACACCCCTCTACAGTCAGCAGTACGACTTCGCCCTCAGACCTTGAGTTGCTGCTTTTATTCTGACCGTCTTCCAATCGACCTGCCTGACATGGTAGAACCTACAGGAACATGTGTTCCAACCAATATAGCTCGGTTGGATCATCACGATAGGCAAGCCCGACCACCGCGTCAAGGTAGCAGCTACGGTCGGGCCTTGTAGATTAGACCTTCAGGTCAAAGGCTCCGGTCTGGGCGCCCGGACTGTATCACAGCCTTCACATAAACCAATGATAACTGCTACTGGCCTCATTGTTATTGTTTGGCGCATATGTATTTGGTGACCCCTTGTACCAATGCTTGTTTTTAAATAAATAAACTCGGAGAAAAGCCGGTTCAGAGTTCCCAGGCTTTCAATTTTGCTCTAACAGTGGTCGGTTCACAACCTTAATGATGATAATAATAGCCAAAAATAATGCTTACAGCAATTGAAAATTATCAACAAATGATCATTAACTTACACACGGGCGACATTATAAAACATTTCTAATGGACATTCTTCCACTGGTAGTAATTTAATCATTCTGTCTAATCTCGGTCCATAGATACGATTGATTTCATCACCGATTTCGGCTAAATTACGGGCAACTATTGCTTCGACACTAAGCAAAAGTAAAAATTTAATACACACTTAAAATGGTCAATAACTAAAGATATGTAACAAATACATGAAAATGTTTCGTATAACACAAAGTGTTGATAGACCTTATTATGATATAACAATAAATATTGGATAGTGGCTTACAATCACTGAGTTAAAAGTTCGACCATCCACAGCATTAAATTCGGTTTTAGCAGCCAAACAGAGGTAGAATTAGATTTCTTAAAAACAGTATGGCTTGAAGCTGATTATATAAACCTATACTTGATAACTAATTTATATCAAGATTTTGATCTACAGAGGATACATAATGGTTAGTGTGTTAGAACATGATTCATACTTGTTTTCACAGGATTAGCTCTGTTGACTTTGTATTTACTTGATAAACCAAAGTGAGAACACGTAATTTACTGACTGTTCGAATTATATCGATCAATTTACAATATAGCCACTAGTCTAAACGACTCGACATTGTGTCCAAATAGCTTAGTGGTAACCTTTGTGACACTGAATTAATTAAATTCATGTTATGTCCCGATAAGCATAATGAATGGTAACTTTTGGGATCCATTTATGGACCAATATTAAACGTGTATTTTTATCATATAATTGTTAACTAACTAAACAATTCATATTCATGTCCCTCTAACCATAGGCTTTATTTTGATCTATCAACTATTATTATACGACTTACCATTCTTCAATTATGCCCTGTCTATCAATCACTATCTCCCACATTCACAGCCACTTTTGGCTAAATCTTGTACAGATGTTATTTTATTGGTACGATGTGGTCTGTCTGGTTGGTATATAAACCTAGTATGTTTGAAATATAATGATTCATATTGCAGACATTGGTGTTCTGGACTTAACTGGTTGGGCTAGGCAGGAAGCAGGACCAATCACGACTCTAGGCTGCTCGTACGGGTTTTACGCGTCATTGGTCCGATCGATAATTCACTGCTCTCTAATTGGCGGTATCTCTACGTTATACATTAACAGGGCACACAGGCCACAAGTTATAACAGTTCAAATCTCATGAAGAGCAGTAGTCCCCTAAAAATTGCAAATCCTCGTTTACGAGTGTCAAGTATCATGGAATTTAGATCCATAGGATCCTAATGATTTTTCCTAATCTCCTTACACTAAATCTGCACAGAGAGTGGATGTATAACATCAACACTGGTCAACCATAAACTAGCGAATAACTTACAAGGTTAAACGATAATGAAAACTTAAAACCTATTTAAGTGAATAAACAGTGTGTTAGATTGTTAATGTGGATGAAAATCCTTCAGTTCCGGAAATCGATTATCATTCGACATACATATTCCAAACTGTTGCTGATTAACATAAAGTTTGCTGTAAAAGTAAATGTTAGGCTAACTCTGTCAGAAGCCCCCTAAGATTACGACCGGTGGTTAGAAATCCCACCTCATAAAAGACAACATTATAGGTTTGCAACAACATGGTAACCAGATGCACTCACAAACATGTACAAAACTACATAAATTTCATCAGATCACAATTACAAAGAATCGGACCGATCATATCACCATCAATAAAAAGTTTGACAAGTTCATCGTAGATGTAAGAAGAAAGAGAGAAGGTGATGAAGCTTCGGATCACCACCTGGTGGGGGATAAGCTACATATGAAGTTAAACAAACATTGGACAAATGGACAAGCAACACTATAACAGTTTAATATAGTCTTCCTTCGAGATGTTAACAAACCCATTCAAAGATTATTCTCAGCAACAAGTTCTAAGCTTTACAAGATTCACTACACGAAGAGGGAGTTGATACGTAGAATAACTAGAAAGAGACCAAAGAACCAATAAATTCAACACACCTGGAGGTGATGGACCACAAAAAGTACCAGCATAAAAAGCGGATTTCTATAGACACATTGGGAAAAATTCAAGAAAAAAACAAGAAGACTAGTTAACAACAGCCAAATAAGAGCGGAGGAAACAAAAGAACAGGCTGAATAGATAGAATCAAACAAACGAGTGAAGAAGAGCATCAGAGCTGATAGGAGTAAATATATGGATGATCTGACGACTACAGCAAAAAAGCTACAATAGAAGAAAGTTTTGATGGAGTTTTGTTCTCTGAGCTGGATAGTTTGGTCGTGGAGCTTTCATCGTTCTTCTGAACATCGTGATGATGTCAAGACAAGCCTATCACTGAGATTCAAGAACAGTGGAACAGGTGGGCAGACCGCTTGGAAGAGTTCTAGAGTAGACTGGCCCCACTGAATCTATCGGAAATCGAAGCAGCAGACACTGATCTCCCTACAGATGATAACTCATGAACAACAGAATAAATCGGAAAGACCATCAGAAAAATCAGGAATAGCAAAGCAGCAGGACAAGACAGGATATCAGCTGAATTACTGAAGTCAGATATATAGGTAACTGCAAAGTTATTTCGTGTTCTCTTCAAAAAGATTTCGGGGTAAAAGTACCAACAGACTACAAAAAGTAATGCCTTAATAAGATACTGAAGAATAATCTTAGTAAGGGTGAAAACTACAGAGGGATCCCAATACTGTCAGTACTCGCCAAGGCCTTCAACAGAGTGTTCCTCAACCGAGTGGAAGATTCAGTAGACTCCCAGCTTCCAGATCAACAAGGACTGATTATGCAGTAATCAAATCGTGACACGGATGGTCGTGGAGCCATCAACTAAATAGAACTCATCGCTATACAACAACTTTCTTGATTATGGGAAAGTGTTCGACAGTATGAATAAGAAAACCTTCAACAACATCATACGTAACTTTTACGATGGACTACACTGAAAAGTCATGCACAGAGGGCAGCAAACAGATGCGTTCCAAGCGAGGACTGGTGCTAGATAAGACTTCTTACCCTCTTCTTTTCTCTTCCCAATAACTATTGACTAGATTATGAAGAGCTTCACACCTCAAAAGAAGCACGGAACAAGGTGGACACCTCGGACGCAGCTGGAAGACCTGGAGTTCACAGATGACCTACCCCTTTAATTCAATACACAACAATACATCCAGACACACATTGACACTGTAGTAACAACGTCTGTAGAAATGCCCTTCAGAACTCATAAGGAAAAAAGTGGAATCCTGAAATATAAAATAGTGAGCAGAGACCAAATCACACTTGATGGGGAAACTCTAAAAGAGAGGGAAGCCTTTGCATATTTGGGTAGTATCATTCAGAAACGAGTATGATCTGATGCAAACGTGAAAATACTGATTGTCACAGCAATAGCAACATTCTTACAACCGGAGAACATGTTAAACGCAAAAGAACTGCCATCTAACACTCAATTCAGAACTTTAAACACAAACGTTTCATAGAGCTGAATCTAACTGCACGCGTGTGGTTTGAAAATATGGAATGATAGTTTTAAAGAAATCCAATTTTAACTTATTCGGGTTAAATTTTTGAGAAATAGTGAGTTTGTTGACAACACTAAACAGAATATATTTTTCTCCTCGACAACAGTTACCGGATAGGATAGTGTGTCAGATCGGATAGTGGTTATCTGTGATAGAAAACAAATATGGTGGGTATACATGCATCCAGTTTAACTACAGTCCTCTTCTTCATATCTTGTGCATATTTTCTTTTTACTAAGTCTCATCGATTTTTTTTATTTGGTATTTCTGAAGGACAACAATGTACAAAGTACTCATTCAGGATAGAACAGTAATTCAATTTTTTATTTAAGGTAAACGAATGGTTTAAATTACATACATCGATAAACAACCTACCTGTGTGGTTCAGCACGAGGTAAAGATGAAAGTTCGTGGCTTACAGGATCTTCAGACTCAGCTTGTTGACCTATATCTGTTACATGAATTGAAGCTGAAGCAGAAGCAGTAGACTGAGACGAAGATGCTTGAGCTGATGCAGAAACTTCCAATCTATAACGATCTATCATAAAATTGCTAAAAACTAGTTCTGATGAAGCATCTACTTCTTCTGGAGTACTTGGAGTCAGTTTTGAAACAACCTTTGGATTAAATACAAGGAATGAAACAATAATAGTAAAGAATTAGTTTATTATCTCTATGACCCTAACGATTGCAACGTTAAGATGAAGTTGTTTATTAAAAGTTTGATATGCTTAATTTATTCATCAGGGAAAAAACTAAAACAACTTTATGAAGTAATGATAATAATCAAAATTTAAAGTTTTAGTTCATTTGCATCTTCCCATTAATGTTTAAGACTGCAGTTGATCAGTCTCTTTTGGTGTATGTGCATCGTGTGCAGATTCCCTCGATAATGCCACTATGTCATAAGCACTTTAAGTAGAGATCTCTGATTAAAATCAAACCAGTGGCTATCAGGACTCGGGAGCCAAGTGGACAACGTGATGATATTTGGAGCGGACGGTATTGTGTTCGAGTTTTGGAGTGAAAATCAACTATGGAATGCAAGTACACCCGGTTGATGAGTCCTAAATAGAATGAAACGACCGTCCTGAATTCCACCACTAGCCACCAAACATATCTGCTCATAAATCTTTAAAATTCGTGTACAATAAACTTTTTTAAAAATCCAACTAACCAATGGATTTCAAATTGGAAAACTAATTAAATGGATATAATTAAATATAGGGCGGCCTGCTTGATCATCTGGGATACCTGTTCCTGCCATCCAGATATTTCAGCAAGTTATCTATTTTTGTTTGTTTTAATATATCATTATGTTTATTAATCGCATAACCTATTCTGCTGAGTTTCTGAAAAGTGTACAACCTTTCGTTGTCAAAGTTACAAAAAACTCAATAAGAGACAATGTGGTTGCTGGCAATATACAGCGAAAAGAATGCACATTATTCAGATGTTCATTTACTGAACTGCTAACATCTAACTGGCGATTACTCAATATCTATCGCCAGGACCGACCAAGAAGAAAGAAACGGAAACTTGTTGAAATACTTTACGCTGAGAATTCTATATTGTACCAAAAATATAATATTGAATAAAGCTGATAATAATAATAACAGTGTGAAGTTGTCGATTAATACTTTTCACTGAACATAGATTCATGAGTATTTATATTTTTGCAATAGTGATTAGGTAGTTAAAGTACCAATCAATCAATTGAAAGTTTAAAATACATTGCATATACATTGGTTTGGGTAACCGGAATGATTGTTAACCCTCACTGAGAAATAGAATTTTGCTCTGATTTATTAATATTAATTTTAAAATTAAATCTTATGTACCCGGCTCTAAGCCATATTTCATGATATTAGCCAGCTACCGAAACCGAGGATGAAGCCGGGTCCATAACATATAATCTAATGATTGAGAGTTGCACCTGTAACTACCGTTTGAAAGCCTTGGATTTAATAAAATTCGAAACAAATGAAATATTTAGTTAATGACATTTAATTACCAAGCTTAATTTAAATAAATAAAAAGGATTATGCTGTATAATCTTTTGGTTGCAGTTTTGAATGTTAGTCATCATTAGAACTGACAGCTACTGTCTCAGGAAAGATTTGATTTTCCTTTAAAAAGAACTATACAGCTATCTATGACTTATAAATCTTCAAGAATTATTATTCAGCAGATATTAACTTGATTTTAAAAACGAACCTAGACGCCAATAGAAATTTGCAATAAATTTTAAGCTAGTGATTGTTTAGAGTGAAAATATACCTTATTAAAATTTTAATGAGAAGATAATAACTTGCTTTTAGATAGACATAAAACAAAAAGCCATCGTATTATGAATCCTTAATAAGTATTGACTCACTCGTAAGTCAATATTGATAGTTACCGGCTTTGGGGATTTTAATGACTCTGAAGTATGACCACGTTGTCGGACAATATTACCAGGGTTCGTAGATGAAGAAGCAGAGGGATTGGCTTCATGTTCTACATCTGTATTAAGTACTTCAATAAGATTATCATTATCTTCGTCTAAATCCTCTTCAATATTACGTATTATATCTGGTGGTGCCCCACCGGTTACAGCCACAATTTGTGCTGGTGAACAACGATCCAAATAAGTCGGCATTGATTGTTCAACAAACTTATTTACTGTCTTCTTATATTGATCGCTAATATTTAAAACTGTTTTGGTAACCTCATCATCCAATTCAGAATTCATTTGTGCTATATTACTTAAATTCGACTTGATAAAAGAATTATCAGTTAATAGTTTGGATTCTTGATCTGAATCAATTGAATGATTAGATGGTGAAGATAAAACTGGTTTTAATGCTGACAGATATTTTTCATTTTGATCAATAGATGAAGTATTTTTTGCAATTTCTTCATAATTCTGTAGAACAATACCAGTGATATCATTGTTTTCATCAACACTAATTGTACTGTTAGCATAAGATTGATTATTATTACTGTTATTATTAGTAGTATTATTGTCATCATTTAGAATTTCTTTAGATAAACTCTTTGATCCCATAGATAAAACCGATGAATCATTATGATTATCCAATGAAGTGAGTACTGTTGGTGTTGATAGAATACTAGTGGAATTATCATACTTACTATCATTATCTGATAGATTATTATTATTATTATCAGATAGATCCTTATAATCCGATATTCCATTATTCGATGAAAATTCATCAAGAGAATTGTTGTAAAAGACACTGTTGGAATTATTCAACTGTTTCAAATCATGTTCACCATTTAATTTAGAAAGGTTTTCTTCACTGGAATACAGAATTTTATCTATTGAAGAAGCGGTTGTTGACCCAATACCATTTTCTTTAGTTAATGAATTATTTTGACTATCATTATTATCATTACCCTGGTTTGATCGGATTATGATCACTTTTTGATTTGAGTGAGGTGTAACAATAGGATTTTGTGAGGATTTGAAAATATTAGCTGATTTCTCTGGAGCATAAACTAAAGTTACTCCTGTTTTCTTTTTGTGTTTTACTTCTACTTCTTCTTCGTCTTTATCACCATTATCATAGTCATTGTCTTCTACTTCGTCAGATTTTGGGGATGAATTTGCGAAAGAGTTGAGTGAAAACTTATTCGAAGCAAATGTTTCATCTAATGAAGAATTTGCAGTTGGTGTAGACGAATCACTGGGATCAGAAATTGTCATAAATGATGTCTTTGATGATATCCAACTTGAATCTGCCTTTAATATACAATATAATGTAGAAAGTATTCGATGAAATTGTAGGAAACAACATTACATAGTAAAAATAGGATATATCAATAAAATTAAGTATAAAATTATTAGAAGTCTTAAAACCGATCAATAAAAGGTTATTTTTCAGTCGGGCTGTATTTTTAAAGGTACTGGTTTTTCGTTAGGGAACACACCCCGAGCCTTTGACCTAAAGGTCTGACCCACAAGGCAGTGGAGCATCGTGAGGAGATGCAGTCCCATGGTAGCCGGTGACCAACGATTGGTTCACAAGCCATTTTTTCCCACAGGATACTGGAGCCCATGTGCACCATTGGTTTGGGATCCGGTTAAAGCGCCGGACATTCGGTACTGATCAACAAAATAAATCTCTAGTAATAACACCTATTGAACTCAAACCTAATTTATATTTAAAAAACCGAATATCGCTTTGAATGCAATTCAAAAACAGACCAGTGTCCAAAGTGTGTATTATAAAACTAACAGGAAATGTTTTAACATTTAATCACTAATCTCTCGATCTGTGACATCATACTAATAAATGGATCAGATCAGTTCGAGAGATTTTAAGCACACTACAATTCGCAAAAATCATATAATTATATACTGATTAGTTGAAGCAATCAAAATGATAAAGCAAGTATATAGTAAGAGTAATTATAACTAAGGTATCAAGAGAAATAAATTCAATGGAAATCCAAACGGACCAATGACAAATGAATAAGAAAAACAATAGTTAAACCTTATTCTGCTTTGTATTCTTGATCGATTCACTCACTCGACTAGTTCCTAAATCAAAAAGTGACTTGGATAGGATGTAAATATATTCTGAACAAAACAGCAAGTTCAGCAAGGAATGAATTAATCACATTTAAGATAGCGAATTTTGGAGCTACATTAATTCATCCATACATCTGAATACTATACACACATCATAATTGAGGTCCGTTCGTGATAAAAACCTTAATCCTACTTCTTATTCCGAACTTTTAGTTCTAACTCACAATCCTAGTCCTAATTTTTTACACTAATTTATATTCCTATTTCGGTCCTAGTAAGTGGTTAAAGTTCCTTAAAGGCACTTTATTATTACTCAAATATTATCCATAAATTAGATTATCGATCAAAATGTCAATGTATGAATAAGCTTTATACAGGAATATTCTAGTCTAAACATCTCATCCGCTAACACTCATTGGTTGAAAATAAACCAATCAGTGCGCTCCACCAATACATTGTCTGAAACATTATTTGATCAATGCTTCGTCAAGCCAACAGCAATCAAATATCATATTCATCAGTTGTTAATATTAATATTCCTAGAAAATTTATCACTGAATTATAACACATTAGTGTCAAAAGATAAAAATCTAGAAGATTTGACGACTGAAGCTAATTCCCTATGAGAGTAAACACTACCAGAATGGATTGACAAACTTAAACAAATCACGCTCAAATTAATGATACACTATTCCAAATTAACGATTACTCAGATTTGGGCAGTGTCTTACAAATTGGAGTGTTTGATTGAAGACCATTAGGTCAAATGTTTAAATCCACTCAATCTAATTCGAATTGGACAGTCGGCTAGTGTCACTAGCCCTCGCACATAAACTGGCGCTCAAAGTCGAGTACATGGACCGTTAAACGGGTTATAGTATTAATCACATTTTTACACATTATGGAGACTGGTGACAGTAAAGAAGTTACTAAACCAACGTGACTGGGAACTGTTATATGGCCATTTATAGAAATCACAGAACATGAAAAAACATCTAATGATTCGATTCAATGCTCGTATATCCTGGGACCATCGAGTAAGTAACACAGTTGTTAGGAAATGGGTACTAGGTAAGGATGGCAAATCAATTGATGAAGTAGTGAAACTTCATCAGTTGTGATGGCTGGGACAAGTGTTACGTATGCCCAACGACCGACTGCCTTGACGTGCGATGTTCAGTGGTATAGGAGTAGGTTGGAAGAAAGCTAGAGGCGGCCAGACCAAAACATGGCACAAGTCCATGAAGTCACTGACAAGTGGACTGAGTCATGTTGGTAGGTGTAGACTACCTGGTTGGGGACCGCGAGATGATAGCAACCGTTGGTTAGAGACCCTGAATGACATGGCTCAAAATGGTTTGCAATGGTGCAGGTGCATACACTCTTTGTGTTCTCCCAAATTTTGATCTCTTTATTCCTCCTTGTCTCTTTTTTTCCTCTTTCCAAATTTATTTCACTGGATTATACTCTTTGAATAACATCTCCAAACCCTAATCTTCCCGATTACTGCTTATACTCTTACTACCTCTACCACTATGGGATTTGAATCGACCACTGCATCTCTGTGCTAATGTGGTGTGGCAACTCGAACTGATGTACGTACGTACGAAGTTCTACGTTGTTACTGACTGACTGATTCGATTCAATATACATCACAAAGAAAATAATTAGATTTGAAGCGGAAGATGAGAAATAATATTGAAAACGATAGATTTCTAAACACATTAAATAGAGTTCAAGAGGAACAGATGAATTCAAGAAGAATGAAAAACACGAAATGATAATATTTATGTTAAGATTTAGGGAGCGATAAAGAATGATTACAACCAACTCTAGACCATAAAATCCAATATCTTTAAACATAGATTACAAATACCCTACCCCAGAATCTACAACAGAAGTCTACACTCACAAACACGACTCACTGTTTGAATAGAACGCTTATCAGTAGAATAGTACGGGATAACCCCCAACATTGAACAATACATTACTATTACATCTGAAAAATATAATCATAACGCTAAATTTCTTTTACATTTTCTTTAGTTTATTTAAGAATTAAGCTAACAAAACAGTTAATCAGCTCAAACGAAGAAAATACTATGAAGTTGCGTGAAATAGTTAGAGTTAATTGCCAAACTAAACAATACTTTTGACTGAAATTTTAAACACACTACATAAATCATATTAAAGAAAAGAACTGATCATTGATTTGATGTGAACTGACATTGAAATCAATTTAGATATCTTTAAGTTAAACATTGTCATTGGTTATATATTTGACTTTTAAGAGACATATTTAGGACAATAATCATAAAAGGAATGTACAACACAGGGTATATATTGTATGAAATCTAATCTAGTTGAATAAAATGAATAAATACCGATTGTTATGTATATATAATGAGTGCTAGTTTATGAAACCTAAATTGAGATATACTAAGCAAACTTACATGAATTTTGTGACAAGAAATATGTGAGTACATACTGAAAGGTGTATGTATTGACCGACCCCATTTTGTGGTTGTGAGAGTCAGTAAAATTGTAACCGATGTTAACGATAGAGATTCTTATTCATGAGGATATTCAAAGTACTATTTAGGCTTAGTGAACTAGGGAGGTATTCCAACAATAAATGGAGAGTTTTAAGTACTGAGGTTAGCAGTTATTGGCTCATGTCAAAGATGCTTTCATAAGCTGAAAAAGTGAGGGTATGTTTTGTGTAAACTTCGTTACTTTCCAAACTGATTTGTGAAACATTGGCACCAGAAGCTTCAAAGTTTACCTGTCACTCAGTCAGTCATAAACAATGTAGAACCACCACATGTGTATCAACTGCCGTTGCCATATAACCACAATGAGACGAATGTCAAAATTATAGAAGTAGTAACATCATTAGTAGCAACAAAATGTGGCTATGGAGAGTATTAACTGAGAAAAAACAATGATTTCGTGAATGATTAGGTCTTGGGTCTAACGTCATTTCGTGCTTTCCATAGGTTGATTACAACTGTTTCTTTGGAACCTTACTTTTCATGTTTAAATTTTCATAGTCTATGATATTGTGTCTTACCCTGCATTTGACACCCAGTCAACTCTCCTCTGGATTAGTGAGAAGTATAGCAACTACGACCCGTGTAATATAGTTGGAGGTACGTTGATGATAAATAGTTTCGCGAGACCAGACTGCTGTAACCAACAAATGCCCCCAAATGGCCTGGTACGACCGAGAGTGGGAAAAGTCAGCTATCCCTCTTGAATCGCTCTCAAGTGGTCACGTGTATACAGCCACTACCAGCGAAGCCCTACTCACTGCCTTTTCGCGACAGGGGTGTTGCTTACGAAATTGAAAAGACCAAAACTGAACGTTCCGTGCTTTAACCAGATTGATGGACACGGAAAGTCTACATAGGGGAGTTGGAAAACCCTGATTCCAAACTAATGGTGCACATTGGCTCCAAAATCTTGAGGGAACAAATGGCGTATGAACCTACAATTGGTCACTGGCTACCATAGGACAGCATCCTTTAACGTCGCTCCACTGCCTTGTGGATTAGACCTCTGGGCCAAAGGCTCGAGGAGTGGCCCCCTAAGAAAACCACCTGCTTCGGTTTGAGCACGCGAGTAGTATTGCATCCTTCACACAAATCGAATGACAAAGTGGGGCGTATATATATTTGGTGCCTCCTTGTACCAATGTTTACTTAAATATATAAATAATATTGATCGAAAAGTTACAGGGTTGGTCGTAAAAAACTATGGAAAGTGTTTTTTCGTCGCTAATGCTTATAAGGAAGATATATATATATATATATATATATATATATATATATATATAATATTTTCTCAGTATTTTAAACCCATGTCAATTCGTGCCATGGGCAAACCATAGTACTTCACTGATGTCATTTGAGGACGGAAACGAAATCCACCAAACTTAAATATGTAACGTGTGTAATAAGTATGGTCTTATGCACTCGGTTGAGCTACTGTCCATGTGAGGCTAGTGATACAACCAGTTGTCTAAACTGAAGTGAAACACCATTTAAACCCATGAGACCCACTGTTCGAAATCTGAGTGCTTAAACCAATAAACCATTACAAAACAGCAAGTTACTTTCAAATAAGTGGATTTCAAGTTATATGCCTTTCGGTCTTCTTTACTACTTAAATTCATCTCTATTTTTACTTTAGAATGGTTGTTGGTAAGTTTCTAATTCGATATAAAACTAGACGAAATAATAGTGAAGACTTGATTCAGATTTTTGAAGAACACATTTGACTGATGGGAATAACAGGGCTGACTTTAATTCGATTGAAAGTGTATTAAGTTCAAAAATGAAATATAATATACGTGTTTAAATACACTTCATTAACTACTTTACGCAGCACCTACATACAGTGTGAATACATAACATCCAAGTAACTAATATCAAAACTGAAGCTCGGTTAGGCTGATAGGACTATACTTATGGTAGCGATATAGGTCAGTCAGCAGCAAAAAAGAACCTGGTACATATGAGCACCACTTTAAAATGCCACGGCACATCCTCAAAAATAAGACGAATATTAAAGTTACGGAAGTAGTAGTTGGGGTCCGCGTGACTATCCTAACCAATGGTTGGAGACTCTGGGTGACATGGCTCAGAATCGATCACAATGGCGTAGGTGTATACACTCTGTCTTCCCTTAAACTAAGAGATTAAAATCACTTCATATCTTTCGTTCTACTAAATAATTCTTCCTTCCTGTACTATACTTCTATATGCAATCTTTCTTCTATATACTGCCCCCATTGAAGTAACTACATCTATGAATCCAGTGTTCATCTTGCTGTGCTAATGAGGCATGGCAACTTGAACCGATGCATATATGTGATTGGTCCTACGTTGTAGCTGACTGACTGACTGAATTAGCAGTATCATCGGTAGTAAAAAAAGATCAGCTACATAGGATATTCAGGAAAAGAAGGATGAATTCGAGCAACGAAAAGCATAAAATAGTTTTGAGACTCGGGATTTAAGGGTAGTAAGGGAACTAATACATAATGAGCTAAATATAATAAATTTCAATGCTGAATATCAAAAAGTAATCCACTCCTCACTTACTTCTAAGGGACCATCAGCAGTTCCATCCGTAGACATCTCGCTAAAATAAGCAAAATACGAAAAAAACTATAATCACTCAGATAAATGAACTGAACTAACACCAATACGAGACGAATAGTCATAGCAAGACGGTATCGTAAAAATCAGGTCGGGTTGATTTATGACTCATATGTATAGACATATACCATAACTGAAGTAAGGTCTAATTTAGAACCCAAGGTTTAAAGACTGTTAAGAAACTCAAATTTTTCCCTAAGCCAACACAAGCGACCGGAAAAAAAGGAAATAAAAGGGGAGCGCGTCAAAATGTCTTTCATTCCACCTGCTATGAGAAAATAGGGCGAGACTTCCCATTTTCTCACCTTGGGTTTGAAAGTTTGCTGAATCGTTTGCTTTTCGCCCAAATATTTGCGAAACTGTCTAGTTTTCACATAAGTACACGCCGAATCGCCTGCCTTGATGTGGTTTGCTTAGTGAACTCATAGAATGGGTTAAATATAAAAACATTGGCCTAGAGCAAATAACGCAGATTACCAATTTCTCATCTCATATAAGTGACAGATGAGTGAAGTAAAACTTTCCGCTATGCATTAGCATCAAATAAAAGTTAATTTTTTCAGTCACTGAATTAGGATATTGAAAGCTGATCATGAACACGCTCACCATGGATCGTGTAATGCATTGACAAAAGCGGGCATTTGATGGAAAAAGTCGACGAAAAAACGGTGTTAGAACACATTAGTGTGTCAGTTTACGTCTATTCAGGGGATCATGCAAAGTAACGTGAATGACTGGAGAAGAGAATATAAGGAAAGGGTGAGTCGACAACCCAGAAGGCGCACACTGTGCACTAACGTCTATCAAGGAAACAAAAAAAAATCTGGAATAATACATGCCTCCGATTATGAGTCTTGGAATCGGAACTAGAATAACATAGCTCAACACGCAACACTAGACTTACTTGAGTTCGCGCTTTTTCCAAACCACGCGCTGGTAAACTACTCACTAGAGTTTTCAATTTCAAAACACGTGTTCATTGACTAGTTATTTTCTAGTAAACAATATGATTATTTTCATTCCCGGGTGCTAATAGTCATCTGAAATACGGATACTATTTTTTATACGAAGTCAAGGCTACTAGACGATAAACCAAAAACGGATTCTTAACCTAAAATTACGAACAAATACTGAGTTACACAAAGTTATACTACATTTTTAATAACACATGCGAGCGAAGGCTTACAAAATGCCCACAGAATCCACCGGACGTCGAAGCAGCACACTATCCTATCTCTGTCACTTTACCAGCGATAAAAGAAATCAACTATGCCATCCATTAATGAAGTATGAGAAAGAAGCACGAGCTGAACCCCTGAAATTGGACATATAAAAGGCTGCAAAGATGCCTCACATTCTAGTCACGAAGAGTTGGGGGAACAATGCGCGCCGATGGACCGGGAAGAATGATACCTCATCAAGATACCAAAGAGAGGAAATCTGAGCAAGTGTCGGATATCACACTCCTATAATAACTGGAAAATATTTTCAACAATGTTGCTGAACCGAATGAAAAAGTCAGTAGAAGCCTAACTTTGAGATTAACGGGCTGGATTCCACGGGGACTGGTCGTGAGCAGACCGATTCATGACACTACATATCACTGATGAGCAATCAACTGAGCGTAATTCGCCATTATGCACCGAATTCCTTGACTGTGAGAAAGCGTTTGGCAGCGTGGACAGTTGAATATTATGAAACCTTCTTAGACACTATGGTGTACCTGAGAAAACTGCCAACATTATACGGAATTTATACGATGGATTACACTGCAAATTAGTGCATGGAGGACAGCTGACAGACACATTCCAAGTAAAGACCGAAGTCAGACAAGGCTGCCTACTCTCCCTCTTTCCCTTCCTTCTGGTGGTTGGTTGGATTATAAAGACCCCGACATCTGACGGGAAGCACGAAATAAATTGGGAGTTTAGATGTAACTAAATGATTCGGACTTCGTAGATAACCTGTTCCGTCCGTCCCATACACACACAAAATGTGTTTCAAAACAAACAGCATAGCAGCAGCCTGTGCATCAGTAAGCCTCAGCATACGCAAAAAACCAAGATCCTCAAATACAATAAGGAGAACACCGACATAATCACGCTTCATGGAGAAACTCTAGAGGAGGTGGAAACATTCATGTACCTGGGAAGTAACATCGATGAACTAGGAGGATGTGATGCAGACGTAAAAGTAAGGGTTGGCAAAGTAAAAGTCGCATTCCTACAGTTGAAAAACATATGGAACTCGAAACAACTGTCAACAAATATCAATTCTACAATCTTCAATACGAACGTCAATACTTTTCTACTCTACGGAACTGAGGCTTGGAGAACTACCACAACCATCCGTCCGTTAGATGGATACCGTTAGAAATAACCTACTGTGGGAGGGAACAAACTAGCTTCCAGTTAAAGAGGAAATTAGGAAAAGACATTGGAGGTGAATAGGACATACAATACGAAAATCATCAAACTGCATCACGAAGCAAGCACTTACTCGGAGTACTGAAGGGGAAGGGCTAAGAAGAAGACCAAACAGCACATTCCGCCGAGTTGAAAGAAGATACCAAAAGAGTGAATAACGGCTGGAAACAACTGAGACGGATTATCCGGGTCACAGTTGGTTGGAAAATGAGGATGAGCAACCTATGCTCCTCTATAAACGTTTATATGAGTAAGTACATACTCATTAGTGTTAAACAGAAAGGATGACATTAAGACGAATCACAGATACTAATTGTTTCTACTGCCAGATCGAATTAATGATAATTATCTACAACTAGAGAAATTAAAACGAAAACAGAGAGCACGGAACAACAGAGTGTTTCTGAGGCTAGTCGCTCATGGGTAAAATTATTATTCACCACAGAGGATGCATACATTTTGCAACAATGCCTCAGGTACATTTATTTCAAGTGGCTGGCCTGGATTAGACAGAGGTTTTCATTAAAACCCTCGATATGTGTCATATTCAAGTTTCACCAAGTTGTATACATTTGTGTCACTTTTTCTGCACGCAAGGATTGTTGCATACTTTGTGTTAGCAAATAAGAAGCTGCTAATTGAACAATTGTAAATCTGCACATAGAACCACAACTCGAGACAAAGAAGAAACAATTAGCCCGAAAGTCGGAAGTTTTGTTATGGTATGTTGACCGTACATTCATATTGAGAATTTAAGATATTATTCTATATGTTAACGGTCTTAAAACATGAAACGTCGACAAAAGGTTTTCAGAAGGATCCCGAGATGAGCTTAAACACGATAACTACGCTCGCTTAACGTACTTGAACAAGAGACTGTAATTTTAGTGGTTACAAAGGAAATGAATTTGGTTTAGTCCTGAGCCTGATTACACTGCTGGTCGCTCCTCCCTAAGCTCACTTCGAACATGAAATATCCCTAAGAAATGTAGGGCTTATTAAGAAAAAGTTTTCTTTTCGACGAAATCGTTCACTTAATCCGTACGTCTGTATTTGCAGTTGTATGACAAATATACGTCTGTGTAATTTGATTTGTGTAATAGAGACAGATGGCCTAAGACTTCCGTCAGTTCTTTCCTATTATGCTACTGTGAGTGTCTAGTCTTCTCTTGAATGAGTCAATTGATGGTGTAGACACCACTCTTTCGGGTAACAGGTTACAAGAATTGATGACTCGTTGTGAAAACCTGTAAGCTACGAGCATTTTGTTTGTTTTTGTCTTTTCTATTCGCTAGGTATGTCCTCTGAGTTGTGTCGATCTGGCAGGTAAAAAATTACGGGGTATATCAGGTCCAAAATTACTTCTTAGTATTCTATAGATCAAAGTCGTATCAATTCTTGATCTGTAGTACGACAGAGTAAAGAGGTCTGGCTTTTCAAGCCTCTCTTTCTATAGTAAACTTCGGAGTTCTATGATTGCATGGATAGCTATCCTCATTACGTTTTTCCGGAATATTCAAGTCACCATTTAAACAGGAGCTTGTACCCTGGATGCAGTTTACAAGCTTAGTTATCACGAAGGTTGTGTATACCGTAGTGAACATACCTATTTACAATTTTGTCCCCAAAGTAAATGTGGACTCACTTGCTCGCGTTGATAGACATCAGCCGTTTTAGACCAGATAATCAGAATATCTAAGTCTGTCTGAATATATATGTATATATGGTTCTCGAAGAAGAAAGTGAACTCTTGTAATAAAACATATAAGACAATGTTTAAACCGGAGATTTAAGGGGAAACAAATAGTGAATACATTTATGTCATTGTAACAGACCAAGAACCATGTTATCCATTATTTCAATCATTGATTACGAAGATTGTATGAGATCAATACTGAGGACAAGATAAATATAAACGGCATACATTTTTACGATTAGTATAGTGTAGTATCGACAGAAATTTTGATAAAATCTGTTTCGTAATGAGATACGCTTAGATTTTTCGCTTCACACTATCTGATTATAGAATCTCTTAATAATCGCTAGCAGTAAGAATAAGAGTGGGCGTTTGGTCCAATCCGAAACTTGTCGTTTAAATATCTCAAGATCCTAATGCTATCGGTTCTATGGAGATTCAAAACATTTATGACAAAACTATGAAACTACAATAATCAAACTGTTTTGCAAATTCTTTTTTTCCCAATGATTTTCTCAAAACTACGTTCGTTTACATCCAGTAAACCACAACCCTTTTCATATTGCCAAAATTATGAAGTTGATTGAATGGCATATATTTCCCGGTAATCTAGAGATAGTTAGTTTAGATCTCAATATAGTTCAGTAATAGTCATGTTATGCTACTCCAAGTTATGATTATTATGTGTGAGTATTTGACGACAAAAGGAAATCGAACGTCATTAATTTAAATTTTATAGTTATCAACACTCATCAACAGATGTTTTTCGTTTGTGAATGATAACCAAAATGAAACCTATCTACAAAGTCTTTCATAATTGTAAAGTACAGTTTTTTTAATCCAATGTAGTAAAACCACCATGTTGATCTACGACCCTATCTTAATACTCCATTCTTAAATCAAACACCATAGAAAGTTTCGTCAATTGGATGTCTCCAGTATTAACTGAAGTACAAATTTACTTATTAACTTTATTGATCAACAACGTGATGTTACATACCAATGAATACATGTGTACTTTAATACATTTCTTGTATATATGTATGTATGTGTTGGGGACGTTAGATCCCCCGAACTCACATGGAAAAGGACCTAATTTTGTAATTCTATTTAGAAAATTTGAATTTCTTTGTTTTCGCGCTTAAGGCGCTCTTTTCACCGTCATGTCATATTTCCCACCGGGGAGAATCTTAGATGCTATTGGTCGGTTGTGTCTTTTAGTATGCTATTTTGTAACGCTTCTCAAGAACGGTTTTGTGCTGTATATATACGTTTTGATTTGTGTCCGTTGTTATCTCTCGTTTTCTGGCTTTTTGTGGAATATACTTCCCTGTTCGAACTTCGACTTCTCTCTCTAGTTAGTGGGGCTTGGACGCAATAGAATAGCTAGTTTGTTGGTCTTTGGTCAAAAGTCTTTATTCCGTTCGCAGACTAAGTGAACTCGTAGCCGCTTCAAACCTAGCAGTACGTATTTATGTGCTTATCGAAGTGCTATCGATATGTACTTATGTAGGAACATGTATTTATTTTGGATCTGGTGAGTTTTGTCTATCGAAGAAAACCAATAGGTGTAGATATTTAAGACAAGTAACCACTACTCACATTAAACCTTTATTATCTCAATAAATTAAGCCTTAGAAAGGTTGAACAAAAAAAATGTCCAACATCAATCTATTCAAACCTGATATTACTTCTACCAAAAAATATATACTACTTAAATGATAATCAATTGAAAGGAAACCTTAAATCACTTTGATACACGAAATTATTACAGGTGCTTAGCAGGAAATGGCATGAGATTTCCCCTTACCCAAGAATCACAGAGAATAATATCAAAAAGACCATTTATAATTATCATTATTATAATTATTATCAATATATTCATCTGGAACCTCCATTATACATACATACTTGACAAAGATTGGGGCAAAAACACAGGAAGAGATAAACATCAAGAACAAAAGTAAAAAAAAGTGTAATTCGAAGGAGAAAAAAAACAGTAAGAATTATTGAAGTATATGCACTGTACGTAAAACATGTGACCCTGTTTTCCGGGGGTATATATATATATATAATGATCAAAGTCGCTGTTGCTGCTTACTAGAAAAATTACTTACTACTATTGTCAGTAATGAGAGTAGCATTAGTAGTATCAATCGTAGTTATTGTGTTAAAAGGATAAAAATAAGATCAACAATGAATAAAGCGAACATTGGTCCACTTTTTCTCAAGTTATTTCATTATAATCTCATGAAATATAACACACATCAAATGTTGTGAGTGTATGTATACAAATGAATGTTGTAATAAACAGATAATGTGTGTATGTGTATATGAGTGAGTGTATACTCTGAATATGAATACGTCACCAGACAATAGAGATGTAAAGAAAACCAAAGAAGTAGTTGTGAACTACGTTTTTTTTTCTTGGAAAAAAGGATAAATATGAATAAAAACAATAACGATAAGAAAACGACAAATGCATCATATAATTCATATATATATGTATCTTTATCATCTGGTGTTTTTGTGTCATTAGGGTGAGTTTGATTATTTGTTATGAAGAAATGATAGAACAGTTGAAAAGATCATCACCGTCATCATCAACATCATTATCGTGAACAATGAGAGAAATAAGGAAAAGAAAGAATCGAAAATAGAGTTAAATTAAGGTGGTGATGATGATGGTGATGTGTGTGTGTGTAAGTTTGATGGATATGTCATGAAATCAACAATAATTATTCAAGTCATATTAATACTATTACTGGTACTCTTGATACCAGTAATATGCATGCGTTATGGTAGTTTAAATGGAATTCATAATAGTTATTGTTATTATTATACTCATAGCAAAACTCCTTTGTCACATTGTTCTTCTGTTTGAAATTTCTCTTTTTAAGTAAATAAATTAGAACATGATTGAACAAGTTGATCAGCTGATTAATTATGTAAACGTTATTAAAGGAAAGTTAATGATGATGATGATGATGATGATGGTGGTGGTGGTAGTGATCGTCGTCGTTGTCGTCGTCGTAAGAATTTCTAACTAACTAATTCATACATCCATATAACAAATAAACTAGAGCATTTCACAGATAAATATAATAAATATAAAGAATTCAAGAGAAGAAATAGAAAGTTGTAACGATAGTGATCATGATAACGGTGGTGAGGAAACGTCATGATGAACAATAGTACAACCCATATGTACCTACATAAACAAACAAGTACACAGAGTAATAATAATAATAATAGTACGAAAACTTCAATACAGAAAAAAGAAGAAAAAATCAAGACGGATAAAAAGAGAGAATTGTTTTTCTCTTTTTTGTTGTTGTTGCTGTTGTTGTTGTAAACAAATGGCTACTACCAATTGTTACAAGTAAACAATATGCATATGTATTAATAAATATTACTATTATGATACAATTTATACAATATTTGGTTTGTTCAAATAAAATACACCTACATACATATACACACATAAAGAGAGAGAGAGAGTGTGTGTGTGTGCTCACAAGGGAAAGGTGTACACTTTTAAGATAGTAATAAAAGAGAACGAACAATTACATAAACATTCATTTGTCTCAAATAGAAACTAGATCGTAACAAAGTGCCCATGTTCCTCAAAAACGCACACGCACACACACACACGCACAATAATCAGTTTAAAAACATTTTTCAACTGTTCTTGTCTTTCTTTCTTCTTTTTTTTTAAAAAAAAAGTACGAGCAAAATAATAATAAGACACAGCAAACAATGAAAATAACCATAAGAATATGAGAATAGAGCTGCCATAGATTGTAAAAAGTTCACTTAACAACTTACTAATCAGTTAGTTTATTATTTTATGTTTGGTGAATCTCCGATTGATTGATTGATTGGTTGGTTAGTTAGTTAGTTGGATCCTTTGTCATTGAACAACATACAATAATGTAAAATGATAAGTTGTTCAATATAAAGGAAGGGGAACAAACGCGAAGACGAAGAAGAAGAAGAAGAAGAAGAAAGGCTGAATATCAACAAGCGAATGAATGAATAGTTTCTTTTTAAAAAAACTCTATACTGAAAGAAAAGTGAACAAATATCATGGAATATCAAAAAGGAATTTATACATGAATCATGATAAAAATAATATAATAATAATAATTCATATTAAACTAATGGAATAAAGTAGTACATTTCTGTAATCTATATATAATATAATGTACGTCCTAGATCGTGATGACAGTGAAGATAAAATATGACAACAACAACAACAACAGCAACAATAATGAGGATAATGATGATGATGATGATGATGATGGTGTTCAATGACGGGCATTGAAATACAAGAAAACAATTTATCTCGAAGAAATCATCATTAGTTAGTACATTAGAAACTTACACACACTCACACACACACACATACACACGCATACATACATACATACATACATATAAATAAAAGAATAGGAAAACAGTGTATAATGAAAAGAAGTGATAAAATAAACAATAATGAAAAAAAATACAAGTTTAACCACAAAATCAACATGACCATAATGATCATAATCAATGTGGGATTTGTTTATTTGTGTGTGTGTGTGTGTGTGTGTGTGTGTGTGTGGTCCTTGATGATGTTGATTGAACTGTTTGTTTGTTTTTTGTTTATAGTCTAAGTTTACTTATTAATACATAATTACAAAGTGAAGGATAACTAAAGGCAATCATGATCGATATTATCCACAACTGAAATAATATCAACATTATCATTATTATGATTATGATTATTATTATCATCATCATTTAGTCCCATGAAATCAGCTACACCGAATCGAACCGATTCTGTATATTTACAACTTGTTGTGGTGGTAGTTTTAACAGTAGTAACGGCAGTAGTAGTAGTACTAGTAGTAGTCGTATTAGTAGTAGTAGAATTGGATACAGCTAAATGATCTTGCAATACAGAACTGTCTAAATTATTTATATTAGTGAAATTGGTTACATCATTATTCGTAGAAACAAGTGGACTTGACATACAACACACTACAGATTCAATATTAGATGATTTTAATAAAGACGCTGGTGAATTACAACAAATTCGTTTAGATGGCGGTGGTTCATTGGGATTTCTTTCTGAATATTCATCGGATATAGTTTTTATTGGTGACGATAATGATAATACTGTAGATGGTAATGTGTTGGACAATGATGACGACGAGGAAGAAGACGAAGAAGAAGAGGAAGAACATTCCAATGAATGAGTACCAATAAACGAATTCATATTAATTGGCTTTGTATTGAATATTTCTACATTTGAAGAGGTAAGAGAGGAGCAGAGGGCAAATGACACTACATTAGAATAAGGCATTGAACAATTTGAATCATTTTGTAAATTGGTCGGGTTTATTTTCGAAGCAACTGAATTGTCTGTTAATGATGACAATGATTGATTAACGAACCGATTAGCTTCATTGGATGATAATTTAGATTGGTTTGAATTAAAATGATTTCTATCACCTGTGATAGTAGTAGTAGTAGTAGTGGTAGTATTAGTAGTACTAGTATTGATATTACATTTGTCAGATTGATTTGATTCACGTAACCGATTATGACTATTTGATCGACTAGTGGAATCAATTAAATTGTGTGTATTCAACTGGGAACATACTGATGATGATATTGTCATACTGATTGTTGAAACATCAACACATGATGATGTTGTGGATAATTTAAAAGCTGATGAATCATGAGACCAATTAGGATAAAATGTATTCATACCATTATTATTAGTAGTATTATTATTATTCCACATGTCAATAGAATTCGGTTTATTAAAAGCGAATTCGGTATTGTTGTTAGTGGTAGTCGGTAGTCTAGATTCATTACAATTGGATAAACAATGACCAATGGTATGTGAATTTAATCGAGATGGGGAAAACAACACTGATGATGATGATGATGACGATGATAACGATGATGATGTTCGTGGGGACGATGATTTTAGCTTAAAATTTAACTCTTCACTTGTTGAATTATTCAAATGATGATATGAATTTTTCAATGGAAATGGTGATGTTGCTAGATCTAACATTGGATGATTTGAACGAGATGAAAGTGAAGGACTTATAAATGCTGAAGATTTACCGGTATAACAGCCTGGAATTGCATGATGTGGTTGGTTTAAGCGTAAACTGAAATCAGCTAATGATGATGATGATGATGATGTTAATGTATGTTCATTTGTTACATTATTATTAAAATTTATTGATGAACATAAGAAACTTGAAGGAAATGTATGAAATTTCGATGATTGACCAGAAATATTTGACTGAGATGAATGCGCAGGACGTATAAATGGATCTATAAAATTAGCTAATCTTTGCCTAGCAAGATGATGAGTTGATGAATGATGAGTTCCTGTTTGTGGTTGTTGTGATGTTGTTGTTCCATTAGAAAATTCTTCTGGTTCCGCTTCCGAAATAAAACGTATACACTTTTTTTTACGACTAAAAATAAATAAATAGTAAAATGCTTAATATAGTACAATCAATTTTGATTGAATGAATGAAATACAATTAGTGAATACAAATCGAATGGTTAAGCTGAAGTACCAAAAGCAAGATTCGAATCAATAACTCAAAGCTTGAAAGTTAAATATTACAATCATTTAGTACTAATCATTGGTGCATAGGGGGCCACACCTGCAGCCTTCGACCTAAAGGTCTGATCCACAAGGCAGTGGAGCAATGTAAGGAGACGCAGTTTCACAGAAGCCAGTGACCAACGATTGTTTCACAAGCCATTTGTTCCCTCAAGATTTTGGAGCTCATGTACACCATTATTTTGGAATCAGGGTTTTGCAACTCCGCTATATAGACTTTCCGTGTCCAACAATCCGGTTAAAGCACCGGACATTCAGTTTTGGTCTTCTCAATTTCGTGAGCAATACTCCTGGTGCGAGAAGGCAGTGAGTAGGACTTCCCATGCAGTGAATGTATGCACGTGGCCACATGAGAGCATTTCAAGAGGGATAACTAACTCTCCCCACTCTCAGCCGTACCAGGGCATTTGGAGGCCATTATTCATTTAATATTTTTCATCACACTATGATAAACATGTGAAGTTAATACGTCAAACCTATTCTACATACTTTTTGTATGAACTATTGTTAGCTATCCCATGGTACAGGTAATAGCTTTTATGATCAGTTTAATTTATTTAGAGCCTAATGCTCTATTACTTCAGACCTACATATAATCTCTCCCCACATTTTCTCTCTTCTTTTTTTCTAATTATTATTCTTCACTACTACTGATGTACTACTTATAAATAATACCATCCATATATAGTTAAGATTTATGTTAACTCGTTGGTTCATATTATGAATTAAATTACTTCATTCATTCGTCTCGTAAGAAAATAAATGATTTGAGCTACACAATAAAATTTCTATTGGATTAGAAAGTCTGTAACAACGTAGAACTTCGTACGTACGTACATCAGTTCGAGTTGCCACACCACATTAGCACAGAGATGCGGTGGTCGATTCAAATCCCATAGTGGTAGAGGTAGTAAGAGTATAAGCAGTAATCGGGAAGATTAGGGTTTGGAGATGTTATTTAAAGAGTATAATCCAGTGAAATAAATTTGGAAAGAGGAAAAAAAGAGACAAGGAGGAATAAAGAGATCAAAATTTGGGAGAACACAAAGAGTGTATGCACCTGCACCATTGCAAACCATTTTGAGCCATGTCATTCAGGGTCTCTAACCAACGGTTGCTATCATCTCGCGGTCCCCAACCAGGTAGTCTACACGTACCAACATGACTCAGTCCACTTGTCAGTGACTTCATGGACTTGTGCCATGTTTTGGTCTGGCCGCCTCTAGCTTTCTTCCAACCTACTCCTATACCACTGAACATCGCACGTCAAGGCAGTCGGTCGTTGGGCATACGTAACACTTGTCCCAGCCATCACAACTGATGAAGTTTCACTACTTCATCAATTGATTTGCCATCCTTACCTAGTACCCATTTCCTAACAACTGCATTACTTACTCGATGGTCCCAGGATATACAAGCAATGTTTCGAAGACACCTATGATCAAATACTAGTAACCTACGAATATCTTCTACTCTTACCGGCCATGTTTCACTGCCATAAAGTAGGACGGAACGAACTGCTGCGCAGTAAACACGTCTTTTGGTTGATAGACGGATACCTCGCCTACGCCATAAATGACGCAAGTTGGCAAAAGCAAGGTAGTCGAGCCTTCTGTATCCGTGCTGAGATTTCGTCACACACCAGACCACAAGGGCTGATGAGACTTCCAAGATAAGTGAAGCGGTCGACACACTCAACTACTCCACTCCCTATCATTAGTTCGGGTGTCAATGCAACCCAATCCTGAAGCAACATTTTGCATTTCGAGGGGGAGAATCGCATCCCTAACATGCTTGCATTGTTGCTTAGAGTGGTCAGAAGACTTTGCATTTTGTCAGCGTCTTCGGCGAATAAAACTATGTCATCAGCATACTCTAAGTCAACAAGTGAACCTCCCGGTAGAAGTTCAACCCCTGTAAATTTAGATGAGGAAAGTGTTATCTCTAAAAAAATTCAAACTGTTTTACTGTAGCATTTGTAGTATATCATTAGTAGTGTACTAAAGGGTAGATTATTCAATCAGAACTTATTAGGAATTTTAAATTGTGAAACTAAACAATTGTAAAGTATATAACGATGTGTTACTGGGTAAATTTTGAATAGCATACTGTTCTAAAGCAAATTTCTTGAAATTACTAAGTGAATCATGGGTTCACACTCTGGAACACTACAATTGATATGGAAGGATAAACATGAATCTATAGTTGATCAAGAAGTTATATTAGGTTTTGTGAAAACTGTGTTAGGACCCAAGTTTTACCCAGTAAATTAATTATTGCTTGATATGATGGAAAGAAAAGACAATATTCGACTGAATTACTCATGATGAGTTTTATTCAACATTCAACATCCGTTTTGATTCAACGTGAGGATCATTCAGTGTAGTATTTGATTGTTTTCCCAGTATGATATTTTCTTCTGTATAATATACGATATTCTTCAATCACTTGACATGATCTATGGTCAGTAAGTGATTTGTTATAACTGAGTATGTCATTTAATCTTAATTATTAATCAATATATAAACCAGTGTATTTTAGACGAGATTGATTCGTCGTCGTCATAATGTTTTGGGGTTGATAAATCTTCACTTATACCAGTCTTTGTGTTCTTACTTTCGCGTCGCGGGAATTGCCGAGGTCCCTCGTTCCGAGTATAAGTGATCAGCGTTTTTTTCCCGGCACAGCAATCAGCGACGACCGAGCATAACACATTTTTGAAAATAATTTTAAAAATCCATACTAAACCAAACAAATATTTCCGGTTTGTAATGGTTTGGATTATCCTGTTGTTGATATATTTCGACTGAAATTTGATCAGTCTTAGCTGGCATATGTACATCCTGTGCGGAATGCCTCAATATAGCCTTTATGATGCACATTTATGTAAAAAAAAGAGGAAAACGGAGGAACATAGCTAGCAATAGAATAGACAATGTGTGTCTTGATCAATTTTAGACTCGTAAACTGGATGTACCTAGATTCGTGTTGATGTTCACAGTGGGACTCGGACCTAGTACCGTTTGCTTCAGAGACTAGCGAATTATCCACTTAGCTACTGAGTACAGATAGTTTCTCATTGGTGCAACGAGTATAAGTTTTAATCTAATTTGTATTGGTTTGGATTATCCTGTTGTTGATATTTTGAGACTGAATTTCGATCTACCTTAATTGCAGGTACATCCAGCTGAGCAGTCCCACATAGGACGAAACGTGCGTCTTAAGTTCAACTGTTAGCCACATTTCATCCATTCTATATAAATATATGTGGTGTTGAAAATTATTTGATTACCGAATGTATATGTTGAGCTTTACGAACAGAACAAAAACGAACAAAAAACCTACCGACACGGTTTACACCACATATTCTGATGTTCCAAACCAAATCTAGCACGACATTTTTTCAAATTCCCACCAGACAGTTCACTTGCAGTCATAGCTACCGCTGCTGCAGCGGCAGCTACCGCCGCCACAGTAGTTGACACGGCTGAATGAGATGAATGATTATTTTTTGTAATTGTTTTGACATGACTATCTGATGTCGATGATGATGGTAATAGATCAGTCATACATCTTGAAGAATTATGATGCTTATTACCACCACCACCACCACCACCACCACCGTTAAGACCGAAAGTAGACATCAAATGTGAAGGTAATGAACCAGGAAAAGTTGGAAAGTGATTAGAAGACATTGATGAATAGGATAAATGATCTAAATGAGAAGAATATCTATAACCGGACTGATAACCAATCGGTGTTATTGAATATGATGGATGTCTATTTTCATTGTCTACTGATGATGACGATGATGATAAATTAATCATCCCGGTGAATCTAGGGGATAAAAACGAATGATCTTTAGAATGTATTGATTTGTTATCATTCAATGCGGATGACAGAGAAGAAGGATAGAATGCAGATGATGTGTCACGTTTAATATTTATATCAGAATGTAAAAATGGATAACCTGTGGAATGATGAAATAAATTTGATACATCATGATTATTATTATTATTGTTATTAGTATGATAAGCATATTCATTTGGGATTAAATTCATAGATTCATTGTATAATTTATTTAATTCACGATCTCGATTACAGAATGTAGTTGATGAAATAGAAGATGTAGTATTGATGTTAGGTGTAGCTACAATATTAGCAGTTAAAGCTGTATTCCTATTTGAATTTAAGTTAAGTTTAGATTTCCTATTGAAATCACGTATAGTTTGAAATTTATCTGATTCATTATTACCATTATTCATATTAACGGTAGGGACATGAGGAAATAAACAATAACCTAAATCAATATTGGAACGATATTGATGACCAATATTACTCGTTGTTACCTTGGATTCATTGTAATCATTTTTTATAGAGTATTCAGCAACATATCGATCATTCTTAACAATATTATTATTATTATTTTCATCATCAACACTATTCATAAATGTTTTATAATCGATAGAATTTACATTCATTGATTTTACATGCTGTTTTACTTCACCTAAGAAATTACAACCATCTTCTTCCTTTATAGTTGTAATAGGATCTAGTTTAGTGAGATTAGAAGTAATTTGTTTAGATAATGTTAATGATGATGACAAAGAAGATGATGATAATGATGATGAGGTGGTGGTGGTGGTGGTGGACACCAACGATGATGATGATGATGACGGTGATGAGATGGATGGTGCTGTAAACGATTGATTTTGTTTTCTACACAATGGTGAATTTGATGTTAAAGGGCTTTGTTGATGATTAGATGAGAATTCTGAAATAGTAGTAACAGGATGTATAGATGAAGGAAGATGTGGAGAAGAGCATTTACTACCACTACTACTACTATGATGATGATGGCGTTGATGATGACGATGAACAATATCATCTGGTAAATGATCAGTTTGTATTTTTGAACCATTTATTATCATTGAAGATAATGAATCATTTGAATGAGTTTTATTATTTACAGAATGATCAGGAATACATGAATTACGTTTTTGTTGATTATTACTAATATCTAATGGAAATGATTTATATCCATTCCATTTATCCAATGAAGTGTTCACTTTAGATTTATCCATCATAATAGTTGAATCATTCAATAATAATAATGATGATGATGATGATTTTTCATATGAACGTGTATTCATTATTGATTTATTCATATGACGTGTTCCACGAATATGTAAACCATGTTTATGAAATAATTGTCGTCGACGTTTACGACGTCTAGCATGATATGCATAATTATCACGTGCTGACCAATTTGGATATAATTGTTGATGTAATTCTTTTTCATGTCTAGCCATTTCATAATATTTTGTTTGTTCTTCTCTAGTTAATTCATGCCATTTTTTACCTAATACTTGATTAATTGCAGCAGATTCTTTTAAGGTACATTCTTCTTGTACACGTGAACGCATTTCTTTCATAAATAGCATAAATGCATTTAATGGTTTTTTAATATGTATACCTTTAGATAAACATGAGGATGTTGTTGTAGCTGCTGCTGATGATGATATAAGATTGGTAGTCATTTTTCTCTTTAAAGTTTCTTTACAATGATCTAAAGATGATTCTTCATTGATTATTACATCATCATTACTATTATTACTATTATGAATGTTAGTAATTCCCGATTTTGTTAAGGCTTTTACAAAATCAAAACTTCGACGATCACGAGATCTAAATTAATGGTAAAACATTCGAGAGAGAGAGAGAGAAAAAGAAATACTATTATATTGACTACCTCTTAAAATGAACAGTCATGCTTGGTAAATTTAGTTTTAATTATTAAACTATTTATAAATTATTAAAGTAGTAAATGCTTAAACAGTTAATTTTTAGATTTACAAAATTTGTGAATAGTTACAGTTGGTAGGCAAGAGCATTTCTCCACATGGCTCCTTAATATGATATTTAATGTATGATTTAAAATAAATAAAAGACCGTTATACTAAAACAGTTTATATCATGGACAAACTTTAGTTAGATAATCATGCAACAACATAATAGGACAACCGATGACCCCTTCCTCGAAGGTCGAACCCAGGATCACCAGGCTTCACAGAGAACATATTAGTTTGTGTTTATTAAACTGACAGAAAACAGTCTACATTTCGAATTTCAATAGAGTTGCAACCTTGCTGTAACTAAAATATATCAGGAGAATGAACTTATCATTTCATTTCTTCAATACTAAGTGTAATATGATGTTGTAATAAATCAGATTGATTTAGTGTTCCATACTAAAATTTCGACAAAATTGTCAAGAATACCAGAGAGCTAAAATTGGCTAAAATTAAAGATATAATATTGTCGAGCACAAAAGTGACAATGTTTGAAAATATTTATTCTGATACAGAGAGCAGTTGTTTAACGGTGGTTATATGAAATACTCAGGCAAATTTTGTCCTATAGTGAATGTGATCTGTAGAGATTTCAATGAAAAATCAATATGTAAGTATCCAGTATAAGCATTTTAATGAAGAATGTTGATTGACCAAATGGTTGTCGACTATTGTTGAGCAATTGACTAATGAGATAACTCATATTGGTTCTTATCATATCCTACTGTCTCTTCGTATTTAAAGTATACAGCTTATATGAATTGTCTATACAAAAATTCCGAACAAAATACGGTTTTTGAACTAAATGTTACAATGAATTAGCGTTGGAGAGTTGTTGATATAGGTTAGATCAAATACTTTGTAAAAAGACCAGGCAGCAATATTGTTATTATTGAGAAACTTTATGATATAACTAAAAGTCTTGGCATATTGTCTTAGGAAGGTATCTCGTTTAAAACGAAAAACATCACATTCTAACGATAACAGTATAACCTGAACATACACATTCATCTATGGGAATCCATTCACTTACATAAAGTAAACGGGTTACGGTTAAGAAACTACGGGTTCAAATCCAATCAATCTACTTTAGGTAACCAGGTATTATGTTAGCATTAGCCTCCTTCCAACACAATTGTGCGTACATAATTAGTGTGTTTCAGAGTGGATTACATAAACATGTCCTTAGCAGAGGATCAGTTTCCTTCTATATGATGATAGATATAATTTATAGACTGAAATGATAGTACTATTAAGATCACAAACCGATCTACGTTAGACAGATATTTAAAACTTAGAAATAGTGGGAGACCGTTTCGTTCTAGTATTGTGGGAAGCCTCAACAGTGCACATGAACGACTACACGTCTGAAAATCGAACCCGAAACTTTCAACGTTGCTTACAAACGACCGTTCAATGCTTTCAGGTTCTCAATGGTTGCCTAACTTAGATCGCTTCGCAATCATCAATCTCCACAACTCTATACTGACAATTATAATAGTCATAGGATAACTAATACTATCTCTCAGTCTAAAGTGTACATCTCTGTCAATGACATTTATAGTTAGGAGATAAATAAAGTCAGAACTGTTTCATTGCCATTCCTATAGCTGTCAACCAAACAATAACAATTAACACGAATCACTCTCTACAGAGATGGTATTCAATCAAAACGGATACACACATACGCACAGAGATACAATAGACATAAATTATATTTATTATTTTAACGCTGATAAATCAAGTTTTAGAAAAACAAAGGGATTTTATTTATTGACAGGCTATCAACCAAGTTGCCTTCAAACTTTCTATAATCATTATTATTTTGAAAACAAAACAATTACAATTACAACAATAGATAACTGATCTTTCCCTTTTTCGCCAGTTTCTTCCCACACACACACACACACTTCCCCATCCCATCTTTTTTTTCCATCTCTCAATCGTTAAATTGAATGCTATCCATCAAATAATAAATTTGCCACCTGTCTCATCTCAATAATCTATTAATTCACTTTTTACCAGTGATCTATGGTAATATATCACTCATGCGCCCCCCCTCCACACACACACATAAGTGAATGGATAAAACAAATAAATAAATTGTTAAAAATGAATAATAAATTGGTAGAAAACGACAACGGCGACGGTAGGAACAGAACAACTTCTGTAAGACGACTGTCTTTAATGTCAAGCCTCATTAAATAGATTAGTCTATATGGTATATAGTTCATGTACGTACATATACATATGGTAGGGAATAAACTATATGGCTCCCACCATGTACTCGTTATTTGTTTTGATACTCATGTGTGTATGTGTGTAACAAATACAGAAGGGGGGGAATAGTGAAAAGATTAAAAATAAAGAAAGTCTACGAAAATATTTCAAAGAAAAAAAACAGAGGAAAGAAGGCATCGAAACAATACATTTAAAATCTATGCTTAATTGAATGAAAAAAAGTCGACTACATACGCACGCACGCACGCACCTACGCACACACACACAAGTATGTACATTGATATAAATAACGGAAACGAATATTTATGGTAAATAGGGGGGAAAAAATAAAGACATCTTGTCTAATTTAGATTATTAATTCATCAATTTCATAGTCACCATTATTTATATCCTAATAATGAAATAATCTATTCGAAATTTGTCATAGAAACTTAAATCTATAAGCTAACCAATTCATCAGTAAACTACACACACACACACATACATACGCCAATATATGTATATATATATATATACAAAGATTTTTCCCGACTCAAAAACAAAAACATTCACTCTTTTCCTCCATCTCTGTTGTGCACACACGAATTCCAAACTGAACACAATTAAGAGTAAATGAAAAGGAGAATAATTGAAGAAAATAAAAATGATACAAAAAATTGAAATTAGAAATTGCAAAATTAGAATCATTTCTCAATGAGAAATAATATCATGATGTAGTCTTTTTAGATGAATTTGTTGTTGTTTTTTTTGATCAAGTAAACATTTTTAACAATATTATATTACTGAATAAAAAGAAAGTAGTATGATCTAAGAGTTATTTAAGAAGATATATGAATACATCGGAAGGGATATTGTAGTAATTTCAATAGTTGAGATCATGAGTCACCATGGAAAACCTGGAGGCACTGGATGGCCGTTTCGCCTTATTGTGGGACTTCTTAGGTGATGCGCATCCACGATCCCGCCTCAAGAGATTCGAACCCTTCTGATATAAAACAACATATACTTATTAGTGACTGGCTTCAAGAGGTATTTCCTGGAATTCTAGTGAGAAGCAGTGGTCAGTGGAAGTCAACCAGGTCTGTTGTGAGATAGAAACTCACTGAAGATAATGCTGGATGTGTGGCTCAATTTCGTGGATTAGTTGAAGTTAGACATTAACACCATTGGATGTCGGCCGGCTCAGTGTTCTAGAGGTCAAGCGTTCGCACGCAAGACCAATAGGTCCTGCGTTAGAATCTCGTGAGGCGGGATCGTGGATGCGCGCTGCTGAGGAGTCCTACAATAGGACGAAACGGCCATCCAGTGCTTTCAGGTTTTCCATGGTGGTCTGGTCCCAATTAACTCATGACCTTAATTATATATATATATATATATATATATATATATACAAATTTTTTCAAACAATTAAAAATAAACCCAGTTTGCCCAAGTTTCTCATATCAAAACCATCTGATTAGACAAAAGCCTATTGTTCTTGATTTCTCTACTTTAATCAAAACTCCATGTTAAACTTCATCATTATACACTTGATAGCTCCATTATATATGAGAAATGTAACTCGGTTTTAATTTAAACAAACATAATTATCATCAAAGTGTAGAAGAATATAAACGCAACAATATAAGAATCTCTTACCTTGAGCTAAACAGATGATTTCGACTAGACCATAGTCCAGGAGAATTAGTTCGATCTAATGTATTATGTATATTAGTGTTTCTTCTTCTTCTTCCTACTCCACTACGACCACTAATACTATCGTTATCACCTCTGGCAACAGCAGAAACAGATGATAATTCTGAAGATGTTGAATTACCAATCATAGCACTCGCAGCTACAGCGGCTACTACCGCTGCTGCAGTTTGCTGACGTCTCCAAAGACTGTTTGATACTGAATTATTATTATCATTACTATTATTATTACTGTTATTATCTCTATTTTGAATTGATGATAACGAAGATGTCGACAAAGAACCGAATTGTACAGTCGGTGATAAATCCGATAAAGAAATAACTGACGATGATGAAGATGTTGATACTGATTTCATTTCTCTGATAGAATCTTCAAATGTGAATTCATTATTCAATGAAGTTGTTATACATGGTGTTGATGGAGCTGTATGTACTGAAGACGATGAAGATGATGATGACAAATTTGAATTGAACGTAGCAGCGGCTGCTGCTGCGGATAATAACTGCATATGTGCAGCGGCTGCGGCGGCAGCAAACATACTAAGTTAATAAATGAATCAATGAATGAAGGAAAAATGGGTATAAATACTACAACCAATGACCTTTACATAATCTATTATAATAATAATAGAATGATAGTGGAACTCAATTCCTTTATAACAGAATTATCAAAACAAGTGTATCACTTATATTTCGAGAAATAACAAATTATTCTTAATAGAATAGAAGTAGTAAATTATCAGCTAAATTGTATCCTATTACATAAGGTATTGATTGCACTAGAAAGATGAACTTATCACAAAAAACGGAGTGTGTGCGACCTATTTCAAATAGATTTTCCTTTAGATCTATAGTAACAGTCCTAGGTTATCGAAATTACCAGTTTCCTTTCCAAGTTCCTCAAGAAGAATAGTTTTCTCTCACTTTGGCGATAACCGATAAGTGATAACCACATTCATGCCTCTAACAGTATTCGACTGATTAAACCTCAACTACTAATTGCAAACAGAGTCAATATCAATAAATAATTTACAGCTTTTATTGTGTTTTGTTTTTGTATTACAGTCAGATATTCATTTCATACAACAAATACCAGTTATATTTAATGTTATTACTAGCAAAACATAACTAACAGTTAAGACAGCATAAACATTAAACATGACGAAAAAGCCTCATTTTAGCAAGAAAAGTAGACTAAGACTTCGTTTTGATTTGTTTGGCTTTTTCAAATTCATTATGAACACAACTTACCTAGGAGAATAAGGACTAGCAGCGGTAGAGTTAGTTGAAGTAGACGCTCGACTACTACTGTAGTTGTTATTATTATTCGTATTATTATTATTACTATTATTATTTTCACATCTATGATATAATCCAGCTGGAGATAATGATGAAGTAGTCAAATTGCTACTATTTGCTTTGGGTGATGGTGCCATACCGCCAATACTATTCGGTGATTTCACCGATTGTAAATGATTGAAAAGAGCTGATTTATTAATTGATCCAGATGGACTTAATGGAAATAATGTATTATTATTATTATTACTAATAGAAGGACATGGTGAACTTTGATGACTATTAGAGGATGTGAAATATTGTTGAGATTTATTGGATGTTTTTGGTGAACTTGTACCACTCCAAGATGCTACTGCTGCGGCTACAACTGCCGCTGCTGCTGCACAAGCTGCAACAGCATAGAAATTCGACGATGTTGAAGGAGATGAATCATGTTGAATAGATCCATTAGGTAGTGATAGTGATGTTGATGTTGATGATAGTGGTGGTGGTGATGATGATGAAGATATCTGCCCATATCCTTCTAATAAACGACTAGTGTGTAATGTATTTAAGAGTTTAGGTGAATCGATTGGATTGTCAAACGAATGATAACCTTTAATAATGTAAGCATAAAGTAAATAGATTGTAAGATTTGGAAATAAGAAAAATACTAAGAGATATAAATGATAATTAGTTTACCTTAATATAAGATTGAAATTAGTGACATTAGTGTTTTAAGGTTAATAAACCAGAGAATTTCGATTGATAATTAACACACTATATAGCAACTAAATAAACTAATTTTCAATGATTGAATAACTAAAGTAAATCTTCTCTTATCTTCCATAAAGTTTAAACAATCAACTTACGTTCGTAGTTAATTAAATAAACTTGACTGATTCGTCAAAACTATTGTATATTAACTTCTAACTACGTAATGTAAATATATTTGGGGGTGTGTGTGTGGAAGGTTCTTTTCTTTACTTCTCTTATGAAATATCTAAAGGTTCCTATGCTTTGATTTCCAATGGGATCGTAAGTGATCACTATTGAAAAGTTCCAAATATGGACGATGACGACAACAACAGCAACAAAAAATAAAGAAGCTGTTCAAATACTCCTTTTTTTCTGATTGGCTCTCTATAGACTAATCATTATCAATTAATGAGTACTACTGTTTAAACTGAATCCATTACAGTATTTATGATTTCGTTGAAATTCTTAGTTATAAGTGAATTTAATTAAACCCTTACAGGTAAAAAAAAACAACTAGAAAGAAAATACAATATTAATTCATTAGAAAAATTAATAAAGAAATTTGAACTAAGAAAACTTAATGACAAAACCGTCCAAAGTGATTTCGTATCATATCAGTTAATGTTGTCTGAAGTTGGACAACTAATTAAAGTGATTGTCAGTATGGAGCTGTGGAGATTGTTGAGTTTTTTTTATTGAGATCATGAATCAAACGATGTTAAATCACCATCGGAAACCTGGAAGCACTGGACAGCCGTTTCATCTTAGTAGGAGACTCCTCAAAAGTGACCAGTGGAGACAATCCGTATCAGGTAGAGACAGATATCTACCTCAGACAATGGAAGATGGTTGAGTAATTTCGTGGTTTAGTTGAAGTTATATATTAACACCGTTAGATGCCGACTCAACGGTCTAAAGGTTAAACGTTCGCGAGCGAGACCGAAGGTCTTGGGTTCAAATCACGTGTGCGGGATCGTGGATGAGTACCGCTGAGGATTCCCATACTCGGATGAAATGACTGTCCAGTGCTTCCAAGTTTTCGATGGTAGTCTAACATTGATCAATTTATTATCTCAACCAAATACTTCAAGTGAGACAACAGTTTTTATTATTACTATTATTATTATCATACGGTTTAAACTGTATACAGTGAAAATGTATACATGTAAACTTTTGTTGAATCATTATTTCTACTGGAAAGAGTATTACTTACTTACTTACTCCTGGAGTCCCTCCGGGGGCTACTGCCGGTCCCAAGTCCGGATAAAGGAAAAGGGTTGGGCATGGGGTTAGCGACCCCATCCCTTATAGAACTAACTCGCTAAAAAAACTCTAACTAGAAAGAGTATAGACCCCACTAATGATAGGTGCTTTCGACTATCGTTTCATTTATTTCTCGTATAAATTAAAACATCTTTTGATAGACACAGATTTTGGACAACATAAGTCTAGGCGTCATTTTTAGTATAGGTAAGTGGATTTTTTAACAACAAAATATGTTTCTCATAGTTAATAATAGTTTCAAGTTCATTTACAAGATATACACATAGATAACAGAAATAAGCAACATGATATATGATGTATAACTTAATAAGGAGTACATCATGTTACTTTTTTAATAAAAAAAAAAAGAAAGATACAAACAAAATTATAATCAGAGAGGGGTTTTATGGAGATTATAGTAATTTAATAATTGAATTCATTAGACCACCATGGAAAACCTGGAAACACTAGACGGCCGTTTCATCCTAATATGGGACTCCTCAGCAGTGTGCATCCACAATCCCTCCCCGCTTAACCTTTAGACCATAAAGCCAGCATCCAAAGGTGTTAATGTCTAACTTCAACCAATCCACGAAATCGCGCCACCGTCTACAGGTTAAGCGTTCGCAAGCGAAACTGATAGGTCCTGGATTGGAATCTCGCAGGGCGGGATCGTGGATGCTCATTGCTGAAAAGTCCAATACTAGAATGAAATGGCCATCCAGTGCTTTCAGGTTTTTCATGGTGGTCTACCTTCAATTGACTCATGAATTCAATTATTAAATTACAAACAAAATTACTACAAAAACAAGGATGAAAGAAAAAAATTCACAATAATGATAAATAATTTTTGAGTGTTTAGTCAAATCAAACCCTAATTTATATACATCAATCAGTCAATCGTTTGTAGGAAATGGAATTTAATTGTGAATACTAAGATATGATAATAACGACGAGACTATAATTTATGGACAAATCAATCAGATATAAGATAAAAGGTCTTGGATTTTGGCGCGAAATTCACTCATCCATTTGGTTAACTAGAGTTTTGGCATCTTAGTTGATGTTAGCTAGTGGTAGAAACCCTAAGCATCAGCTGTAAATTCCACGTGTAAATTATGACATTTATTGTTAGTTAAACAAGTTGATCAGTTTACTTGTGTTATAATTTCTCTTATTACGACCCAGCTATTCTTATTGCTTGGTAATCTTGGACACTACTTCAGTCGATAAGTCACCAAATCAGAACACGGTTATACAAGAATGTAATTATAATTCAAATAACAAAGGTGGATGGAAGTAGGAATCACAATAAGAAAATCGTTAGTATATTTATAATTTTTACATAAGAAGATTCTAGAATATTCTCTAACTATCCACTAGCGCAGATTGGTTAAGAAATAGTTATTCAGCTTACCCTAACACAGTCCTGCACGGAACATGCTTTGATTCAATCTATATCCCGCTAACACTAGTACTCAGAGAATACTATTATAAAATTTCAGGTATTAATAGATAGTTTTGAAGCGTAGTTAAACTACTTAGTAAGAATGTATCCCTTTATACAATGGACGTTGAGCCATTTTGTGGTATTTAAACTATTCTTATACTATTTAGTTGTTCTAAATTTAGAAGTAAATGAAGTATTTCATGAATTTACTGACTGTTTGGCTGAACTACAGAAGAAGCTCGATACTACCTGAACGGGGTTTGTGTGATGACCACAATCAGTGGTTGGTGATGTTAACTGACATGGTTAAGAATTAGTTACAATAACTCAGATGTACTCACTTTTTATCTTCCTCTGGGTATTGAGTCCCAATATTTCTTCATACGTGCCGTATTACTTCGTCTTTTCGAACCATATTCTCAATGTCGTGTCCCTTTCGTTATCATTACAACTAAATTATTTCAGTCACATTCCCTATCTATCTCCTAACTTCCATCTCACCCTGCTAATGTAATATGGCGACTTGGGTCAATTCACATATGTGCCATGCTCTATGTTGATTATGATAGACTTATGAAGCGAACATTTGACAGCTTACGACTTAGTAGTTAAAAGTCAAGTAAATTAACCACTAAAGCCTCACTCGCCCACGTAACCCCATCATGTTACGAATGTCAATACCGAGTTACTTGAAAATGGCCATAATGATAATAATAGTAACAAACACACTTACGAGATGTCGGCAATGGTGACTGACTATGCTCACGTACTGAAAGTCCAACTGTTGATTCCATTTCACGTGGATAATTTAACATATTCATATTATTAAAGGATAAATCTTTCGAGTGACGAATACACTGTTGGTTATGTGATGATAAAGGATGTGTCTGATAAGCATTTGTGTATAGTGATGATGATAATGATAATTTATTGAATTTATTCTCATTTATACAAGTAACGGTATTAACAGAATTAGTAGAAACATCAGGTATATTGGTAGTACAAGCATTATCATTCCTGCTATCAATTGAATTCTTATAGTTTTTACAATTTTCTAAACTTATATCAAAATTGCTCATCGTAGTATGATTTCGACTGTTTGTTGGATATTTTGAACCAAACTTTAAAATGTCACCATCATGTTGAACAGTTGTTTCATGTGGAGATTTTTGAGAAAAAGCTGCTGCTGCTGCAGCCGCCGCCGCTGCCGCAGCAGCAGCAGCTGCACCACATCTGAATGAATCATAAAATGGTATAAATCCAAACGGATTAGGAACACATGATGGGAACTGAGTAGTCTGTAATCAATTAAAATAATAGCAATAAATGATGAAATAAAGAAAAACAAAAACAATGAGAAAATGAGGAATTGAAATTTCAAATAAAACGGCAGTTCTAAATTGTGTTACTTCTTGTTCGTTTGTTAGTATGAATTAGGCAACGGTTATATAACCTGGTTTCAAGTCACATTGTTTGTATTAAAGTGAGTATCGTCACCACTACTACTACTAATAATAATAACAGTAGTAATAATATCGAACTGTCAAAACTGAACTAGGCAGGGTCCAGCTTAAATACGGAGTCTATTAGTTGAAAACCTAATAATTATCAGTTTTACTTCAGTTAAATAAGGTGAACACTCACATTCATGATTAAATACCATACTGATCTAATGGTTAGGCGCTAGTTGAGAAACTTGCATGCTCTGGGCTTAATACACTGTGAACTTATGGGAACGCAGTGCTGAGAAATTTCATGCTGAGAGGATACAACTGTTCAGTGTTTCATGATTTCAAATGGTTACTTAACCAAAATCAATGTCCATGATGTAAACTACCAAAGTCAGAAATTTCTACAAACCGTCTATACTAAAAATACATAATTATTCTATAAGTTGAATTTAAATATGAACTGCAAACGAAACAAATTTTCAAATCTGGTCGGTGAATGACACAAATATTGATGAACTCAAGAACATTACTGAATAGATAGAGTTAGGTAGAAAAAAAACCAAGCTCATGACAATAATATTGGTAACAGACACTTCATTTCATAAAATGTATTTACACAAACCATCCAGCTCAGAGAACAAAACTCCACTAAAATCATCCACCTGAGCTACAAATCTCCACAATCACAAAACACAAAATTACAACACGTAGAAACCGAGAGTTGATTGAAATAGAGATTAAGAGAATATGAAATGCTTGAAGGGATGATTTATATAAAAAGAAGACTAGGTTATTAAGGAATTACAGATAACAGTCATTATTAAGATGAAACCAGCTGTAGTATGATTAAAAATATAAAAATTACCAGATAGTTACTCTGCCAAGTTGAAACTTGAAATTATTGCAAGAAGTTTGGAGGTATTGTTACATTCTAGGATTTACGGCACGAATTCATTTTATTGAGGCAATTACTGAAATCTAGGAAACACTAAACAGACGTCTCGTCCCAGTATGATACTCCTCAGGAATGTGTATAAGTGACTCCAAGGTTATCGAATCCAGGTCTCATAAAGAATGAGTAACCGTTTGATCACTGGAGTTATAATCCTGTGGTTTACATTTCTAAATTAGATCGATTAACGATATCTTTCAATTCTATTGACGGATAACTAACTCTCATACGCGATAAGATTGAAACCAAATGATCAAGACTTTCTACTAGAACTCTGGGAATTGTTCAATGGTTCAATATCTACTGATTTTCAATCACTATTTAACAAAAAAAATCCGTTCGTCATATAAAGTTTACAGACATAATATGAACATAATACTATTAAGCCACCGAATTAAAATGTAACAGTTCAAATTTTCCACTTTAATTACTTTGCGATACAGAGAGATCTAAATCCCAACATAATATCAGTGAGTCAATGACACAACCAACTTGGTCCATTTCACAGAGTAGAAGAAATCTTATTAGCTAAACAGCTTGACCGTATGCAAAGATTTTGTATAATTTGAACGATAATTTTCATTTTAAAAAATGACAAAATATTCTTTAAAAAAATCACTCATCTTAATCATGATGTACATTTTGGAGAAAAAAAGTCACAAAAAGGTTACTTAACATCTCTATTTATTGTTTGTTTAAACACAAACATAGGTACAAGAAGGCACCAAACAGATATGTGCCACATAAATCATTCGACTCATGTGAGGGCTGGGATACTGCCTGGGTGTCCAAACCGAAACTAATGGTTTGCTTAGGGGGCCGCACCCAGGACCTTTGACATAAAAGTCTAATCTACAAGGCAGTGGAACAATGTAAGGGAATGTAGTACCATGATAGCCGGTGAGCAACGATTAGTTCATACGCCATTTGTTCCCTCAGGATACTGGAGCCCATGTACACCATTGGTTTGGAATCAGAGTTTTCCAACTCCTCTAAGTGGACTCCCCGTATCCACCGACCCGGTTAAAGCACCAGATATTCGCTTTTCGTCTTCTCAATTTCGTAAACAACACCCTTGATACGGGAAGGCAGTGAGTAGGACTTCCTTGGCAGTGTTTGTAGGCACGTGGTCATGTGAGAACATTTGGAGAGAGAGAGTTGACTCTCCTCACTCTCGACCGTACCAAGGTATCTCTATAGTTCACTCTCAATTCCTATTTTAATTGCACATTATTTTGTAGAGAAAAACAAATCAACAAATGAATTCTATGTATATCATTTAACCTGTAGGTAATTAATTACGTTAACTTGATGTATGATACAAAAAAGAGACAAGAGAATTTAGTTATCCATAAATTATGCCTCTCAAATTCTGATGAATATATACACATAAATATATATATTCTTTCCAAAAAAGAAACAACCGAAAACAAGAAGCCAGTATTATCTCTCTGTGTGTTTGTATGTATGTGTGAGATTTATCATGTACAATTAACTGAAAATAACAATTACCATCATTCAGAAATAATTATCAGAAATGATCAATTACTAATAAGATAAATATGCATTATCTACCTATCTATCTATACTATTACTATTACTTTAATGATTATTACTGGTGAACATCGACATTCATATCACCGTCAGAAGAGTTTCATAAAATTAAGAAGAAAAACAAAACTGGTTAAAAAAAAGTATAATCAATCTGATTGTTAATTTTCTTTTTTTTGGGGGGGGGAGGGGAGAGGGGGTTAGAGAAGGGTATGTATAAAATTCATGCCAACATAAAATAAGATAGAAACGACAAAATATCATAATGTAATTTAATATATCCATCAGTGTATTCACTACATAACTGTATATATGTATATACATGCATTAAATATGATTGTAAAATGTTCATTGAGCGTATAAACATGTGTAATAATACCACCAGTGGTAATACATCATGACTAAGTATCATAACAACAATAATAGTACTTATACAGATTGACTATAATAAAAAGAGAATATAGGGAAATGATATTGTATCTGATTAAAATTATCATTATGTACTTGATAATATAGACTGACCCATAACTGATTATATTTTTATTTACTAAATTGTTTTTTTCATGTTTATGTATTTACTTTTTATTCTGTCACTCACTCTCTCGCTCGCTCGCTCGGACGCTCATGAGCTTGCTCACTCACACTTATGCCCTCAATCGCTCACTTGTTTTTTTTGTGCCTACTTTCCTTCTTTTCTTCATAGGTTCACTAGTTCTATTTACCTGAGTCCTATTATTGTCCATTTGTACATGTTGAATTCAATGTTGTTGTTGTTTTACTGAGTAATAATAATAATAATAATAATCTTGACGATGGTATAACAATAGCACAACCGTTAGGATAGAAATACTAATACAGGGGAAATAACCAAATATAGAACTGAAAGAAACATAGAGTAGTTTTCTCCCTTTCTAACATCAAAATGACGAATAATAATAATAATAATAATAACCAAGCATAATATAACAACATAACATAGATATGAGAAAGATCAAGAGAGTAGCAGCAACAATGAAAGCTTGAAAAGGGATGGGCAAAGGGAGTTAATTAATGTAATCAATTATTGTAGAATTAAAAATAAACAATCAAGATTAACAACAACAACAACAAAGGAAAACAATATCAACTACCAAAATAAATGCGCTCATAAGTCAATGCAAACAATATATTAAATGATAGGTATTCATTAATTAAAAACAAACAAACATGATCATTGTACTATACTACTATACACTATGTATATCATTAATATTATTATAAACGATAATGACAATGACATACAGTGAGATGATATCTCTTCTACCTGTTTGCTTCGTTGATTTTTTTGTCTGTTATTCCAGTAAATGATTCTCATTGGCATTAAAACATAAATTATCATATGTATATAATATCAATTAATAACCTTAGTTGTACTACAGTTAATACTACTATTACTACTACTGATAATAATAATATGCATAGTACTCATTCATCACATTGACAATAGAACGCCTAATATATAAGGGAGAGATAGTGTGTGTGTGTGTGTGTGAATATCAGATCAACAGTAATTATACTCTATGAGCTGTATTACAATTCAACTACACTATCAAAATAGATATCAAAAGCCATAATTTAAACAGGAGATCTATCTATTTATCTATCTATCCATTTTCCTCTACCTTTATTTCTCTTTCTATACATATGTATACATGACTAAATAATCATTGTGTAACGGAGTCGTTTTAGACATGTGCAAATAATAAATAAATAAAAAAATAGAAGAACACAATATAGACTGCCGTATATCTCGGTCTTTCTCCAACTCCAATGTAAACAGATAAAAATAGACCCATAAAATAAAGATATATATATATGTAGAGATAAATAGATAAATGAACGAAGAGAGGGTGAGTGAGAGAGAGAGAGAGAGCGAGAAAGGAAGAAAGAAAGGGGAAACAGATCGCAAAAGATTAATAATAAGAGCCAAAATTAAATGGCAATATTTTTATGTAAGTCTTAATGTGTGTGTGTGCGTATGTATGTATATGGGTTTGGCTTTTGTTAATTATCTACATATCCATATGCATCTCATCTAGCATATTTATTGCTGATTAATGATGATAATGTTAATGACATTACTGGCCACATTTATCAACTACAAAAAAAATGTCGAAATTATGATAATGTTAGAAACCTCAGGATCACTATATCTTTTCTAGTATGAGATTGTAGAGATTATTAAATTTCATTGAAATCATGAACTGATTAAGGTTATACAACCATTGAAAACCTGGAAGCATTGAGTGGTCATTTCGTCCTAGTAAGGGATTCTTTAGCATCGTGAGTATTGATTGAAATATTC